ATATTGTCAGGGCTAAGTCAATGTCAGAAGGTAGACACTGGTTTTGTAAGTCTCACTGTCATATTGTCAGGGCTAAGTCAATGTCAGAAGGTAGACACTGGTTATGTAAGTCTCACTGTCATATTGTCAGGGCTAAGTCAATGTCAGAAGGTAGACACTGGTTTTGTAAATCTCACTGTCATATTGTCAGGGCTAAGTCAATGTCAGAAGGTAGACACTGATTTTGTAAGTCTCACTGCCATCTTGTCAGGGCTAAGTCAATGTCAGAAGGTAGACACTGGTTTTGTAAGTCTCACTGTCATATTGTCAGGGCTAAGTCAATGCCAACAGGTAAAGACTGGCTTTGCAAGACTTGCACCACAGCCATGGGTAAAACCTATATACAATAATGTATGCAAGAGCATTCAATTACATTTACAAGGTCCTTCATTTAGGTCTAACATAATATCAGGAGGCAAAGCAGTTTAAAAACAATTCTGATACCACCAAAGAATCTTCACATGGACACTCACAGAAAAAGATTAAAATATCCAGTCATTTTTCATCATTTTACAAGTTTCTTGTTTAATAGGTTCTATTTTTTTTAAATTGCAAGTACGAGATCAAAGTTAATGACTGAAAATAATTTAAGTCATTATTTAGCTATTTCAATGTATATAATTAAAGTCATCTCGTAGGATATTTAAAACATACCTATATTCTAATAATATTCTGTTCTTATTAACATTAAAAAAAAAAAATAATAAATACAAACAACTTGTCTTTCTAGACTATGTTACTTTATTTGACAGATTCATTCAGTCAGTCGAATTTTCATTATAATGTCTTAAACTCGAAGAGCAGAGTTTCCCCTAAAATAAAAGCAACACCCCTTGAGGATTATGGGTAACTTCAAGGAGTAAGTAAGCAAAGTGAAAGGGTGCAGTGGAACTAGTTTTAATGAAAGTGGAATACAAGATTAATTTGAACTATATTACTCTACCAGCTTAATAGATCCAACCATTTGGGATGTTTATATGGGCCACTATGACACAAAATATAAATCTTGAAAAGCTGTTATCTTTCTATTGTCAGTGATAAGGTGAATTTGAATTTGCATGCCCATGGGGCTGTGACATAAAATTTCCAAAATACAAAAATAGAGGACGCACAAAATTCTAAACTTTCTTGAAAAAATGTTTGTCAGAATCATTTGAATTATTTCTGTGTTCACAAAGAGGGAAATAGGTAAGTCTATCAAACTGGTCAGTCACTCAAACTGGCCAATCTATCAAACTGGTCAGTCTATCAAACTAGTCAGTCACTCAAACTGGTCAGTCTATCAAACTAGCCAATCTATCAAACTGGTCAGTCACTTAAACTGGTCAGTCTATCAAACTGGCCAATCTATGAAACTGGTCAGTCACTCAAACTGGTCAGTCTATCAAACTGGCCGATCTATCAAACTGGTCAGTCTCTCAAACTATCAGCGAATTAAAAAAAATTAAACTAACTAAATAATTATAGTATAGGCCTACTAAAATTCTGTTTTTGATAATTCGATAAGCTGAAAATGTGCTGTGTTGACTGTATAATACGATTTAATTTATTTAAAGCTAGTGCTTATATTAAATACATGCACATTTCTTTAAGTTTTAAAATGCAATCACTTTTCACAAGGAAAGTAATACATACAGATAAAAGCATCCAGATTGCATTTTTCTGCCCCTAATAATGTCATGAGATCAAAAGAAGTTGTATAAATTTAGGGGCCTAGAGCCATGTTGTCGCAAAATTATTCGAAATGACAAATAGTGAGGGCATTTCAAAATAGAGATTGGTTTCAAACATGCCAGGGTAGTTTTTTTAAATTGATTCATTTGACACTTTATCAGCACCCTTGATTGTCAAAAATATTGTGGCATCAGCAGCGGAACAGTAGAAAGCTTGCTTAATTATTTATAGTACACAAGATATAGTACACAAGACTTCAGCAAGAAAGAAGTAAATGTTCTACTGTTACGATATTTAGAAATGGATGCCACAGGAATGTCGTATCCATTTGAAAGACTGTTTCAAGTTTTCACAAATGGGGAGATAACTGGCAGGGTACTGAAAAGGTAAGTGGTAACATTTTGAAGAAATTACATTTTAACATGTCATGGGTCACAGGCCAGTTCTATCAACACACACTAATGCAGTACATCTGCACACACTAACACAATACATCAGCACACACTAATGCAGTACTTCAGCACCCACAAACATTAAGAAATGAGATTCCATTAAAAACTATTTCAACATTTGTTACAAAAATAAGAATAATAAATAGTTTTGGGTGCTAATGTTGTAAAATTGGAGCCTTAAAGTTACAACTCCAACTAGGGTAAAAAAATATTCCGTTACAACTCCAACTAGGGTAAAAAAAAATTCATGTGGAATCGCAATTCAGAATCAAAGCCTTTAGGAGCTGCAAGTGTTTCCTAAGCCAACTCCATGCTCTAGAAGGGTTTTTCAATGTTGAGAAAAATAAATTAATAAATAATAGATAACTCCACAAAAGAGTAATTCAATTGTGAAAACTGAGGAGCATAATATAAAATAATTTACCCATGAAAGATTATTTCAACAGTGAAAAACTGTATAAAGCATAATGTCATGATAAACCAGATCATCAGAACTACTGAGAGCAACTAACATGCTACATGGTACATACATACTTATTACCGGCAATGGAAACCTTGATTAAAAAATAATAAGATACCCAGTGATTCAACATTACAAACATGGACAAAATAACTATCACAGCTTTAGCCTATGCTTTTTTGGTTATGAGTCTGTTGCATCGATGTTTAACGAATCAAGCATCAATGAAAAGGTTTTTTAACCCTTTTTGTTCCATGGATCCCTCTGACAGTCAGATAAAAGCCACGGGCCCTTACTACAAAATGTGTAGACCGCAGGTTAAGAGCCCCTGAACTATGATAAAATTATTGGTGCATTTATGAAAGATAGCCCTTTATATAAGGGGAATATTTTATGTACGACAATTTTGGGAGAGTAAGTAACTTAAGTTTTTAACTGTGAGGTTTGTCCACATTTGTGTAAAACAGAGTCGCTGGCCCAAGGATGACAACCAAATATTTGGTTCCAAAGTCATGTTTGCTGTTTCTAAGTTGAGTAGGGATAATCAAAACATACCGATACTCAAAAATATAATGTGTTAAAAAATAGCATACTTTCAAAACTAATAATTTCTTTGCTCTCTAATCTCTAGTCAAAAATCAAGCATTTGATGTAGAAGTAGAAGAAAACTATTTTAAAATACTGATAACGATGAGCACATTTTTACACAGCTATAATATTGATAAAATTATAACATTGGTATATGCCATGTTACAGATCTAGCATACGCCTTATGATTTAAATGTCACATTGCCCCTGTAAATATCATTGTCTATGAAATAGTTCTTTTGGGTCAGTTTGAAAGACATTTTTGTTTAATTAAGGAAGAAATAGAAAGTTTGCAATTTTTTTACATAGAAATTTTGACAAGAGCAATTATAATGACAAATGTATAGATAATAATTATAAATAATATTGTATGACAACATTTTAAAATCATAAACATTCCTTTGAGATTAGAACCCCCCCCCTCCCCCCCTTTTTGGGTCAGGTTGAAAGACATTTTTGTTTAATTAAGGAAGAAATAGAAAGTTTGCAATTTTTTTACATAGAAATTTTGGCAAGAGCAATTATAATGACAAATGTATAGATAATAATTATAAATAATATTGTATGACAACATTTTAAAATCATAAACATTCCTTTGAGATTAGAACCCCCCCCCCTCCCCCCCGGGCATTGGAGTTGAATGTGTACTTGTTAAAAAATGGAGCTTCCTGGTGTATATATCCATAACCAATGCATAAATTAATGGTGCTTCCTGCTGTATATATCCATAACCAATGCATTCATTAATGGAGCTTCCTGCTGTATATATCCATAACCAATGGATTCATAAATGGAGCCTTGTGGTAATATATCCTTGAGAAATATGTTTTAACATGATCATATACAAATATTGAAACATCCCAAAAATAACTGCCGTAAAAATTATAAAAAGTTCCTAAAAATGTTGGTTGAAATAGGAATTATCTGGCGTTCTGTTATGTCTTTTAATTTTTGTTACACAATGCACAAGCAAGACATACCAAACAACAGCCCAACAAAGACAACTATATGATAATGATTCAATAGTTTTTTACCTTAAATTCTATCAACCATTTGTAATCTTAATCTTAAACAATTTATTATTTGACCCCAACATCTGTTGGTGATGTCAATATGGTATAACCCAAAAGCAGTGTCGTCTGTGAATACATAAAATTAATTTAATATAATGATATAAAAATAAATGCTCAGTATCAAATTATGCCATATGCAGTCTTGGACCAGGCACTACGTAAAAGAAACCTATCTTAAAATACAGGTAATGTAAACAATAAGGTACTAGTACTAAACAAAATTAAGCTTTTAAAAACAACTATTACTATTTGTGTATGTTAAGGACTTCAATGTATAATGTGATTGTGTGTTGTCAGCTTCCATTACCGTACTTAAAGGCCACACTACTACACCATAATAATGCGTAATATCCCCTTTCACACAATACGTCTCAAGATACCAAGTATAATAGATAAAACAACACCTATAATCACTAAACAACACACAATCACATTATACATTGAAGTCCTTAACAGTGTAAGTAAAATGGGGGAGGGGGGCACTACACCAACAATAAGCGTGTGCAATGATTCCACTGAATTCATGTAAAGTGAATAAAAATATTTTAATTCTTACTGACACACTAATGATAAACTGCACCATTTTATAATGAAGGAGAAATAAAAATTAAACTCGATCAGACAGTTTTTTTTAAAGATTTTTAACTATATCAATTATTATATACATACAGTATCAGTATTACACTTTCTGTATAGCACTAATTACAGTTTGGACCACTGATTCTCCAGTTAGACACATGCGCTTCATGACTGGGCAAGACAAAGTAATTGGAGTTACAGGTGGAAGAACACATCTGGAAAGTATGGTAATCACTCATCTACAAAATTTCATACGTCTGCTAATGACAATACTAACTCAGTCTTGTCTATTTTGTTAAACTATACATGTTAAGAAAAATGCTACGCTGTGTCTTCAAATCCAGTCTTGTCTATAATGGCCAGAATATCTTCATGACCCAGTCTCTCTGCAATGCCACGCTGTGTGTTGCCAAAGACATCGGGTACATCAGTGCGGGCCCCACATTTCAACAAGAACTCCGTCACTTCTTTATTATTCAGATTTATGGCCTGGGGATGATAAAAATTGAAGCATGTAGGCAGACTTATGTAAGCCAGATGAGAACAAGAATATCATTATTTGTTTTAAGAAAGATGATTTTTTAAAAATTTCGTATAAATCCTTTATAAAAATGTAATATCGAGCAATAGGGAAGGGGGGTGGCGGGGGGGGCTGAACATTTTACAAAACATGCATTCAAAGAACACACTTTATAAGATTAAGAATCCCAATCAGTGCTCCGCACCCCATTGGCACATTTTGTTCATGCCTCTGAAATTTATTAATATTCTAATGACCCACCCGCTTTTACAACCCAGATTTATTACACCAACTATTTCGGGAAAACAAAAGAAAATATTACGCACCAAAGGCACTTGGGATATTTTTTTTTAAAAAGAATCTTATTTAGTGCAGTTATCAAGAATGTTATTTTGTGCAATCAATGGCATCATATTTCCTTCATCTTGCCCTTGAAAACAGGAAAGACTAATTTTTGGGGGTGGGGCTGAAACTTTGATAGAATGTGTTGTCTTTGGCTACGAGTCTATGTGCCAAGTTTCAGCTCAATTGGTTGACAGGAAGTGGGTCAATTAGCCTTCCAAAGATTTTGCCACATGACCAGACAGAAATAATGAAACACAAAAGCCAAGTTAATATAAGGGATTTTTTTTAAAACCTGCATGATAAAATTGTAATGTTCCAATAGCCAATGTTTTTAAACTGAAAGTTCATAAATCGAAAATGGCCTGAAGATTATGATACAGTGCGCCACAATGTTTACATTGCGGCCATTGTTCCTAACCATCATTTATTGCAAACAGCTTACCACATGTAAAGGTGTTCTATCATCATAATCATGCCAATCTGGGCTTGCACCAGCTGTGACCCAGGCTTCAATAGCTTTGACATCGTTGTCAGCTGCAGCACTTTAAGAGAAAAAAAATTCATTACTTGGCTTTATTTTAGGTAAGCTTTGACATCGTTGTCAGCTGTAGCACTTTAAGAGAAAAAAATTCATTACTTGGCTTTATTTTAGGTAAGCTTTGACATCATTGTCAGCTGTAGCACTTTAAGAGAAAATAATTCATTACTTGGCTTTATTTTAGGTAAGCTTTGACATCGTTGTCAGCTGTAGCACTTTAAGAGAAAAAAATTCATTACTTGGCTTTATTTTAGGTAAGCTTTGACATCATTGTCAGCTGTAGCACTTTAAGAGAAAATAATTCATTACTTGGCTTTATTTTAGGTAAGCTTTGACATCGTTGTCAGCTGTAGCACTTTAAGAGAAAAAAATTCATTACTTGGCTTTATTTTAGGTAAGCTTTGACATCATTGTCAGCTGTAGCACTTTAAGAGAAAATAATTCATTACTTGGCTTTATTTTAGGGAAAGTTTGACACCTATGTTCTCGTTATTTGAATAATAGCAGAGGGTCCAAATTTTTTTACAACAATTTTTACTAAGAAATGCAACTTTTGGCATGGGTGAAAAGTGGGATGCTTTGGAAAGAACTGCTTATTGGATTCGCCATCTTTTTAAAAAAAATTATATCCAAACCAAATCCCAGCTTCATTCTGGGACAGGCATATATAATAACTAATATGAGAGGTATGTTTTAATTACAATTTACATGTTTAGTGGTAGGTACCTGCACATCCTTACAGCAACTTGTGAAGCCGTCAGTGGCATGGCTGCACCAGTTTGTACCAACAATCGTATGATTTCTAGGTGACCTCCTTCCACTGCATCAATTAGTGGGGTCTCTTTCCGATAGTCTTTCATATGAACACTCACTCCGTGATTAAGCAAGTAGTGAACAACATTTACGTGCCCCTTGCGACATGCCACGTGAAGTGCCGTTCTGCCATCTTGGTTCACGCCTGATAAATTACCTCCCTTAAAAAATAAAAGGATTTTTAGGGAACTTATTAACCCTTGAATGGCTGCATAAGTACAATTGCAACTTTTAGCTTTTTAAATTGCAATAATTTTTTTTTAGAAGTCATAGAGACCTGAAATTAAATGACAGCTCTACATATCAAATTTCAGGGGGGAAAAAAATCACAGGTGCGTATATAAAAATAAAACATATAATATAGTCACAATCTGAATATATATGGAGTGGACCGTATTTCTAAATCATTGTGTAGTGTCAGAGGGTCAGCTAATTGATTTTTTTTTTTAAAAAGAGAAAAGGACTTGAATGCGGAAAGAGGTCCTTTCCAAAAATCGATGAGTGATGCTTAGAATAAAGTCCGGGGTCACTTTGTCTTTGTAGGTGTGCATTCTGCACCATATATATTAGTTAACAAACTTGCAGATGGCATTATCACAGTTTAGTCATTGCATGTAGCCTACAGTCCCACAGAAAACATCTAGATCAGTGGTTTCCAAACTGTGTGTCTCGATAAAGTAGTGTGTTACCAGTAGGGTGTAGGTGTGTTGCGCGAAAATTAGCCAAACCGATATTCACGTGTTTCTAGACATCAAATGATCTGATCAGACATATGGATCGTGCAAGGCTATGTGGTATCCCTTTAATTTTCTTATTTAGAAGCACACCAGTTCCCAGTTTTGCCTTTCTAATGTCTAAATCATTTGATTTTAAAATCAAAATTGCTTTGCACATTTTTTAGCATAAAAATAGTTAGGCCTTTTTTTGTGCTGCCTTTTCTCTTGTTTAGTTTCGTATTTTCTTAAATTTTATTTGTCACCTATCTTCAGTTCCCTTGGCCTTTCCTGTTGGTCGAAGCAAGACTATTCAGTCACATTCACATAAAAATCATTAGTGAAGGAGTTTCGATGTTAAGACATTGTTAAAACTTTACTGACTTTTTTCTTTAAAAAGCCATTTTCTTAATCAAATTCGAGTTGAACTATTGATATGCTTCTAAATAATTACAAATAAACAGGTGGGCATCCATTTTAGTCAGTTATAGGTGTGAAGCCGAAGGAAAAATTTCCAAGCTTTGTTTATATATATATTTAAAAAAAGTGTTTGAAACTGAGGTTCACATTTTCTGGTAGTGAAAACAATCATTGTCCCCATTGTTAATCACCTAAACTCCTTTTAAAAATCTTGCTGTGCTATCGCATGAGCAACTTGAGAAATTTATTGTTAAAAATTCTATGGAAGATAACACAATTAGAATTAGAAGTTTTATCCAAGAATGTCTGATAACATTAAACTTAAACTGAAAATAAAAGATATTTTTTTCAAAATGATAGTGATTTGTTTACATTGTCATTAGACAAATCCACATATGTCAATGACTTAGCCAACCGATACATCTGTATATAAATATAAGATAAGATTATTTTATTGATCCAAATAAATGTTAATTTTTTTTTTTATTACAATGTACATATCCATTTTCAGCACATAAATATATGTGAACTTTTTGACATCACTATCAGCTGTTATGTTTTATTCATAAGGAGAAAAATAAGAGTTTTTTTATTTTCCTATTAGTATTCATAATAAATAAAAATTTCATAAATCTTTAAAGTGTATATTAGTATCAAAGAAATTAATGTGTAAAAACATATAAAGGAACGGTTTTCATGAGATATGTTGTCACCATACATTTTGTTACCGGTATTAATTATGATGTTTGCATCCGTATGTTTTAAAATGGATTTGTTTGACCCCGGCATACTTGTAAAACTAACTTACTGTATTGCAAAATTATGAATTTCTAAAAAGTGTGTCCCTTCCATGAAAAGTTTAGGAAACACTGATCTAGATTTTACCTGCATTGCGCGACAGGGATCGAAATTGTTTTTGGGTGTTTGTACACATATGCTCCATGCCGTGCTCATTGAGAATGATGACAAAAATAAAAAGATAGTAGAGGCCATTTGGATAACTGACATTTCAGATAATCTGCATTCAGAAAAACACTCGACTGTACTATTTTATAAAATTTAACCTAATTAATGTGTTAACTGCGCAAAAAACTACACTGAAAATTTTCATACAAAAGATATGAAGGTACAATTGTACCTATGCTGCCTCTTATGGGTGTAAAATTATTGCGATTGACAAATGTCAAGCCTACAAAAGTGTAAATTTAAAAACAATAGAAAAATATATAAATATATTTTAACTTCTTTTTTCAAATATGAACCACCATAGAGCTCAATTTTTGAGATGACATTTCTTTATAGAAAATCAAATATTTAATATGCTATTAAAACAATTTCCCTCACCGAAGTACGTAATTTTTCCAAAGCTTGTATGTCATTGGCTTTAGCAGCAGCACACATCAAGCATGGGTAGATGGCATCTTTTACTTTAGCGACTTCCTGTAAGATTTTATATTTTGAAAGATGATTGCCAAGTGGCATAAATACAGATTAAATTTTTTGACTTGAAGTTTCATCAAATTAAGAATTAGTGGAAGAGAAGATTTTTAAAAAATGCAAAATTCCAGATTCAGTAAAACAATTTTACAAAATTTTAGAATGCTTTGACCCACATTCCTTTCCTTTTCAACTATCTTTGTGCCAATGAAACATGCTTAAACTCCCAAATTACCTCTCTAGAGCTTAAGCTCATGTAATTAGCCACACTGTCAATGAGCTCAGAGTCTGATATATTAAGGACATCCCCTACCACAGTCGTCATTTCCCCCCTTAGACTTCGGGCCAGCATCTAGAGACAGAAATAGAAGTGGCTTCACATGTAAGTTCAAACTAAATTTTGGTATAAATTAAAATGAATTATTAAAGATCAACTTTTTTTTTTATTGTTGATGCGCAATATTGAACACATTTTTATAAATGAAGATACAGGTATAACAAAATTTTTATTTTAACCTACTTCGAGTATAATCATTTTTCACATCTGTCAAATTAAATTTTTTATAAAGCCAGGGTCAAGTTTAAGGCCGAAAAGAGACACTGGGCACAACCCTTGTATCAAGAGGGTACTTTATTGCCAGCCAATAGGATGACATTTAATAGTGGGATGTATCAACAGATAACAACTTACTGTCCTTTTATGGTCCAGGGTCCACTACAGTTAACAACTTACTGTCCTTTTATGATCCAGGGTCCACTCATCCTTGCCTAGTACATAACTGAGTTTCATGAGGGCAGCTTCTGGAGTCATGTCTGCTCCCATTATAACACCAATCTCCCTCAAAGCCTGATGAAAATAAAACTCAGATATTAATTATAGTACATTGTACTCATCAGAGGGGGTTAAAGGTCAATTAGTAGAAAAATAAGGCCCAAACCAAAGTGCTCCATCTATTATATTCAATAAAATAAGTATATTAAAAATATAGACTTTGACAACACTAGTTATATTTTATTTTTTCAAGATGCCTTCTAATTAAGAATTTTCTCAAGGCACAGTACAGTGTAAAATATTGCTCACCAATCCTGTAGCGTAGACAGAGCTGACATTGCCTCTGCTACACTGGGTAATATTAACAATGAGCACTCCCCAATTACAAGCCTCTTTTAACAGCTGCAGTAAATCTGGTCTGTTGTTGGGTGCATTGCCAGCTCCATACGTCTGTAAAACGACACCCTGAACAGGAGGTTGTAGGAAAGCACGCACCTAAAAGAAATCAAATGGTATATTTTTAATACTTAAATTATTAAAATATCAAAATATCATCAAACATAATTTTCTGTGGTTAATTAATCATGTTGACACAATTTATATCATAATCCACTACTGAGTTTGACTATTTAATTAACTTTTAACAGAAAAGACACAAAGAAAATTCTATACCAACGTGTGTATATGTTTCAGGGGTAAAATGTGGTAAAAGGTATTTTACTTCACCTATCAACCACCACCTAAAATAGCAATTCACCTTTTCAACCACTAACTTTATAGTTTATGGAGAGCTTTAAACTAATTGTTTATAATGTTTTTCAACAGGAATATAAGATCATTAACTACCATAGCTGACAAGATATGAATCACATTACACACACAATAGCTTATGAAGCCCTTTAGTCTTGGATGAGACACATTTTCTATGAGCAAAATTACATACTATCAAGTATATGATATTATGTTTCTGTATATCTCAGAAAATAAGAGCTACTCGTAAAATAAAATAAGCATTTTTTCATGATGCTTGTAATATAAGCCCTCCCCCAAAGTAAGCCACAGCCCAAAAATTAGCCCCAGAACTCAATACTTAGTGTTGTAAACAAAAAAATCAGTCATATGTGTTGCCAATACTCTTCCAGCGGCATATCTTGTCAAGAAAACCCTTGACGGTTGTACCAGATGAATAAATCTAGATTGCTGGACATGAAAAAATAAGACATAACCTGAAAATAAGCCCCCTATGTTTTTTGTGGCAAAATTTAATATAAGACCCGGTATAATTCCAGAGAAACACAGTATTTAACAACCTAAAATCTGTCTCTGCTGGGCCGGCTCAAGGCGGGTACAATGCATGATCATCAAACAGGCCCCAGAGGGCGACAATTGCCTATTTTTACTCAACCTAAAAATGTCTCGCGCCGGCCCTGTGTCATATATCCACCTACATATGCAACGCAATATGAGTCTGGTAAAAAGACTCTACCAAAAGATCTCCCAGGTTGAAATATGTTCTATCACTTCATAATGCATGTTTAATCTAATGCAGTGTTCTCAAATGGTGGTCCGGGAGCCTAACGTTGCCGGTCCACACAACATGAATATTTATGGGCCAAATAAAAAGAAAACATAATTAAAGCAAGCTGGCTGCGGTCTCTGATGCAATTTCAAAACGTGTCTATGGGTCCGCCAAACGCTGATTAATGAAAACTCTTGAACGAATAAGGATTTCTAAATTATGGATTATTTCTATGAAACTAATCTAAGAGCTATAGCTCACACAGTAAATATTTCCACCCTTTTTCATCTCCCAAGACGACTTGTATCTAAGGCAGATGACTTGTCTATAATTTGAATTTTGATTCAAGTGTTACTGTTGTGCACTGAGCTGTGATAAAAATAATTTACTACTCAGCACCAACCTCGGTGGTTCTAATACCTTGACATATCAACCCCTCTTCTTTTTCAGCCCCCTACTTCTGAGTAGAATCGACACAATTTAAATCAATCCATCAAGCACTGAATCACTGAGTAACACTAATACTGACTCATAGCTTGGCAACCTGCTTATTTCCACATGCAGCCATATTGAGGGCAGTAGTGTTACAGACACAGAAGAGTACTGGAAATGATGTATCGAGGTAAGTATGATCAACATTAAAGAAGACATAAAAAAAACTCTCACTCCCACTTTCCTTCTCACCGTCTGAAATGTAATGCCAGGAAATATTCGCAGCATTCCAACATTCGGGCACATGTTTCTGGACACTGAAAACTTTTCTGTGGTGCCCGGCCGGAAGATGGACGTGTGATCAACTAGACAAAAGACAATAAAACATTGTGCCATGTCATCTAACTCGACAAAAGGCAATTAAAAATAATGTCAATGTCTTCAAACTAGACAAAAAACCAATAAAACATGACAATATTTTTAAACTAGACAAAGGACAATAAAATAAGGTCAATGTATTCAAACTAGAAAATAGACAACAAAACATGACAATGTCATCAAACTAGACAAAAGACAATAAAACAATGTCCATGGTCCATGTCATCAAAATGGACAAAAGACAATAAAACATAATACCAATAAAACAATAATGTCAATGTCATCAATATAGGCTAATGGCAATTAAAAAAATAATTTCATTAATTCTTTGTGTGTGTGTGTTAATTATCAAATATATATTGCAGATTGTAATATTCCTTTATTAGTATGCTGGTGATATGTTATTTTCATACCATTGTTCAATTCCTTATAAACAAATTTGGTCATTCATCTTAAACTTATACTGGTACACAATCTTACTTGTTGAAGTTTTTTGGTAAGGATTATAATGACAAACAACAAAAAGGTTTATTTGCTCTGGACAGTGTTGATCAGCTAAAGTAGTAGAGAGTAAAATCTTTTGACCATTTCTTTAATGGCGGTAAAATAACAAAACAATGCACATTTTCTCTGGTTATTTGCATTTCACTCGTCAAAGAAACTACTCAGGGTCACATTATACATTGTTAACATTCAATAAAAATACTTATCATTAACAATATTAAATGAACACTATAAAGTTGTCGTTCTTAATGTTCATATAATGAATGTTGTGGGACTGAGAGATAATACATTTCCTTTTAATAACAGTTAATTTTACTATTCATTTAAAACACATGCACATAATTTTAGTATTCATTTAAAACACATGCACATAGTCATAATTTTACTATTTATGTTAAACACATGCACCAATGCAGTTGTTTAGAGAATATTTAGTTTAAGGTTTGATGAGTGAGTTAGAGACGTTAAAAAAAAAACACAGTGAACGCCCCTGAACATGATTTTTTTTGTGTGAAAAAAAATATCATATTTTCAATATTTTTTTTTTTAAAAACACATTGAAAACCCCTGTTCATGATGATTTTTTTGTTGTTGTAAATACGATATAATTTAAATAAAAGTGGCAATAACAGGAGAGATGAAAGCCAACATACCACCAGAGCACAAAAATAAAATAATAAATTGTTTCATGAATAGATGATACAACTATAAATATGATCTGATTAGTATAATTAATATGGTCCTAATTTTGCCTTCCTTGTCATTGTTAATATCTATGCAATATGTTCTAAATCTCTGCTCCACGTTCTGAATAAAAATATTCCAACTCAGGTACAAAATAAAGTCTTTAGTCAGACTTATCCATGTGTAATTCTATTACTTTAAAAAGAGACTGAGGGACTGCTAGCACTAGTTCATAATAGAATCTATAAAAATGATTAGTAGCACTGCAAACATGCCCAGGGAAAATTCAAATAAAAAGCTGCTGAAGTTTTTAATTTTACACCTGTTGATACTATTAATTTTACACCTGTTCATACTATTAATAATACACCTGTTGATACTATTAACTTTTTGTAAAATAAAAAAGTAAAAATTAGATTATGTCTCTCCCCCTCTTACCTCGATATGGCATTATGTAACATTCATAATTATTTTTTAAACTCATTTTTATATATATTTACAGCTATGTGTCATTTTATTATAATTTATAGTGAAATTAAATTTAAAAAATAATGATCTTTACTATGACAAATCATCCTCAAATTATTCGGGGTTGAGCATGTAAGGAAACTTTTATCAGCATTAAACATGCGGCATATTAGATGTTATTTGGGGAGAAGGGATATTTAATAAAGAACATTTTGGAAAGCATTGAGGAAAATAAATTTTTACAAAGAGTATCTTACATTAAGAGCTAGGAAAGTCGAAGGATATCAAAAGCTAAGGAAATACAGTAGAGCATCCATATAATTTAGAAGCTTGGACAGCAGCTGGGAAGCAGACAAGTTAAAAAAAACTTCTTACAAAAATCTTCATGTTAATAATGAGATGACTCTTCTGAATGTGCCTGTGATTGGTCAATCGTATTTTGATGGACAATTTAAATATACTTTAAACAGGAACTATTTTCTTGGTGAAAAATGATTATTGGTATTCATTTGTTCTTTAATCAATGAAAATAATTCTTCTAAGTTTATGTTAAATACTTTGCAATTTTATCAGCTGAAAATAAGTTTCTACGAAGCTTGACATGCATTTGAAAGATATGTTACTCCCAGTGAGTTAAATTTTCTGATTTGCAAGGTGGTGGGAGGTAAATATTCATGCACTTTATCATTCAACTTTAACAGCTACAGCAGCCTACTGACTTTCAGCCAGCCTAAAAAGATGTAGCTTGCATTAAGTTTATAGGCTTTTAACTTTTAATATCAATTTCCAAGCTGACCAGTGGGGGGATGTAAAGTGAACCTTACCTTTAATATCAATTTCCAAGGTGACCAGCGGGGGCATGTTTGGTGAATTGAAGGCAGAGAAACTTCCTGAGTCTGTTTTAATGCAACGATTGCCTCGGTAAACTTTCTCATTGAAGCAAATCATAACCTGAAAAAAATAATCACTAGTTAAAATATATTTGAAATTGAAATATTACACAATCACCTCACCTTTGAAGTTCAACTAAAACCACAGTTGTTTAGGAAGTGGTATGTTGGGTGGAGATGAGGGCACAAGGTTGGGGTGGAGTTGATGGCATAAGATTGGGGTGGAGATGAGGGCACAAGGTTGGGGTGGAGTTGATAGCATAAGATTGGGGTGGAGATGAGGGCATAACATTGGGGTGGAGCTGGTGGCATAAGGTTGGGGTGGAGATGAGGGCATAAGGTTGTGGTGGAGTTGTGGCATAAGGTGTGAGTGGAGATGAGGGCATAAGATTGGGGTGGAGATGAGGGCATAAGGTTGGGGTGGAGTTGATGGCACAAGGTTGGTTGGAGTTGATAACATAAAGTTGGGATGGAGTTGATGGCATAAGGTTGGGGTGGAGATGAGGTCATGAGGCTGGGGTGGAGATGAGAGCATCATAAGGTGAGGAATCTCCAATGTTGCCAGGTTTTATCTCTAAAAAAATTGAATAATAAGAAGTTACAGAGTAAGTATCTCAGGTGGCGCAGTTATAGAGTAAGAACCTCAGGTATAAAGTTCCTGAGGAATAGAATAAGTACCTCAGGTATAGAATAAGTACTTCAGGTATAGAGTAAGTATCGCAGGTATTAAGTGCCTCGGTTATAGAATAAGTATCCAAGGTATAAAGTACCTCAGGTTTAGAGTAAGTACCTCCGGTACAGAATAAGTACCTCAGGTATAAAGTACCTCAGGTATTGAGTTAGTACCTCAGGAATAGATCAAATACCTCAGGTATAGAATAAGTATCTCAGGTATTGAGTAAGTACCTAAGGTATAGAATAAGTACCTAAGGTATAGAGTAACCTCAGGTATAAAGTAGCTCAGGTATAGAATAAGTACCTCAGGTATAGAATAATTACCTCAGGTATTGAATAAGTACCTCCAGTATAGAAAAAGTACCTCATGTATAAAGTACCTCAGGTATAGTATAAGTACCTCAGGTATAGAATAAGTACCAGCTATGATCAGAGACGACAGAAAGTTATCTCTTCCATCACTTCTTGTTTCAAATATTGGAATCTGCAACAACAACAAAAGTAAGAAAAATTATATTGTCCACAATGCAGATTTTAATATAATATTTTAAATATGTAACATCTTTTAATAAAATTATGACACATGATCTTCACAACATTAGTAAGGAATTTAATTATGATCACATAACTGTTAATTTTCAGAATGAACTGCTTTCAAACTGTGTGGGAGGAAATAGTAGAATGGGATATGTGGAAGTTTGAATGATATAGTTGTGACAGAAAGGTGTCCATAACCAAGATTTGTTTTTACCAATGAGGTTACGCGCATTAAAAGTATTTAGGTGGAGTTAAATGCTAAATTTTCAAAATGTACTTTCCGACCCAAGTCATGGAATGAATCCATACCTTTCTCACAACTTCTTAGAACATGTCACCTCTGCCAGTCCTATGAAGAGTATCTGAATAGGGAAAACTGAAATGATGGACTTCTTCTGTTCCAGTACTTATCCTGAGACTACCCTTGTATTTGCATTTGACCGTAACAGCATGTAATTTCCTTAATAACACATACATTTTGGTTTTTTGGACAACTGCCATCACTACCATATTATTCCAGCCCCCAGCAGGCTAACTTCCATTTAACTCTTTGTTGTTTTGTCAGCTGATGAAGGCATTCAGCTGAAGCATTCTTTTGATAGTCCTGTTTTTTCCAATTAAAATTATCACATGTCCTGTTTTTACCACTCAAACTATCGTATGTCCTGTTTTTACCACTCAAACTATCCCATGTCCTGTTTTTACCACTCAAACTATCACATGTCCTGTTTTTACCACTCAAACTATCACATGTTCTGTTTTTACCACTCAAACTATCACACGTCCTGTTTTTACCACTCAAACTATCACATGTTCTGTTTTTACCACTCAAACTATCACACGTCCTGTTCTACTAATTCCCTTATTTTTAGGAAAAAACCTGCTGCGTACTGAGAGCTGACCAGTTATTCATTGACGATAGCCTGGTTTTATAAGAACTGTTTTGTCTTATTATGTCACCTGGGATCCTGTAAGAATTATTGGTTTTCCCAGATTTTCGCACATGAATGAAAGAGCTGATGCCGAGTAGGCCATTGTATCTGTGCCATGAAGAACAACAAATCCATCGAAGTCATGATAGTTGTCCTGTTGTAAAGTGATAGTATTCAAAATTATTATTGCATTTGAGATGATTGAATGATTGTCATTACACATGCATGACTTGTTTAACATTTCTGAAAGTTTCAATCCAAATAGAAACAATTGTGAGACATGTATAAATATGAGATGCTAAATAAAGCAAAGCAACTATGTTTATATGTCGTATTGATCATTTATAAAACTAAAATGCTTCTCAGTATTACGGAAACTAAATACCTGTACACTACTGTGATAAATGTTCATTTTAAACAAAATTTCATAGCTGTCTGGCAGTCTGCTCAACTATGTATGCTAAATTGGGAAAAAAACACAAGCCCTCTTTTTATAAATTGAATATATATCTATCTACCTTAATACAATCTGCAATTTTGATCCAGTCTGAGAATGACATGTTTGAAGAATCAAGCAATGGTTCAAATTCAATGACACGATATATCAGATGTCTTCGTGTTCTAACAGAGGGTCTGAAAACAAAGCAACAGTAAATAATACTACATCACAGCAGATAGACAAGTAAATTCATCATCAGAATATTCATATTCTGCTGGGGTGATGTATTCTACCTCCTTGTTTCCATCTCGGTCATATCCCTCGATGTAGATTTTGCATTGTTGCATTTTGTATTTTCTTTGTGGGAAAATATAAATTGTCACATATGGTTGACTCAGCCTTAATTAGGGATGAAGCGTGTTTTTGAAATGAACTTTATTATTATTATTATATATAATGCAAAAATCTTAAGACTTATGTTAATGTGCAAAAAAAAAGAACAAAGGTGGGTAGGGTGTTCGTAGTTTGTGACCTCCTAACATCCGTGCTAAAAGGGCTCAAATTGTAACAAAGTTAATATAAGAGCATGGAAAAAGATAACTAGATCTTCAATTTAAATGAATACATTTGATTTGAACTAGGATATTCTCACTTACTGTAAAACTAAAAAGTGTTCAGCCTGCTCTGGTGTTAAAATATGCATAGCATCAGCAGAGTGAAATATTGGCATTGCTCGCAGTTTATCAATCATGACATGAGGTTTTGGTTCATAAGCTATATTGAAAGGGTGATAGAAGTAAAACACATGTATATAATTACATTTTAAGAACATTTTAAAACACAAATAATTAGCCACATATCTTTTAATACAGTTACATAGTTTTCTTTAATCTGCAGGCATGAAGTATTTTTTTTATCCTCCTTTAAACTCATGTGATCCATTATTTTTAAGGATAAAATCACCTCCATTCTGGCTGACCATTCCAATTGTGCCACCAGTATAAATGACTAAAACTTTAGCCTGGTCCGGTGCTTTGGATGGCTGGGATGTCTGATGTTTCAATAATGCAGTGTGTGGAATATTTTGTATATTTCTACTTCGATCCTCATTTGCTGTGGCCATTCTTGTAGGGATTTGATTTTAAGTTGTTTTATATACCTGCAAGAATAATAATGTTTAAAAATTTGAATTATTTATAAATATTTGTATTCTATTTTCTTTGAGGCCCCTTAAGAATAACTGAAATTATTAAAACATTATTTGGACCACTTTTATTTAATTAAAGTTTTTGCTTGTGCTGGTATTGGCATATAGTATATTGACTTTCACAATTGGCTCATTCATTTTCAAAAAATGAGAGCTGATACTTAAACTTAGAGCAGTGCTATCCAACCTTTTTGACTCAGTGGGCCGCACATGATCTCTCAAAAGAAAGATTACTATCTCTCACAATTTTTACTTGACAGAATTGCACTAATTAAAACAAACATATATTCTATCTCTGAATACCAGGTACTTATCCTTAATGTCACAACAATACAGGATGGACATAAGCTCTCCCATACCTGGCTAGACTACCTGTTTAAATAACATGGTACCATAAATGGTCCAAACTGCCCAGAGTAGTCATTAGTGACACCTATAGTAAACCAACTCCCATCTGACCCCAAGGACTTTCCTGTCATATAATCATCCTACAAAAAGCAATATTTAAATAGCGGTGCTCAAATATTTCATCTAACTTGGTTCTGTTGGTGAGGTTACTTTTGGTTTCTCAACGCTTTTAGTAATATCCCCATACCCCACAACGACTGCCCTGTGCAAGCAACAGAAAAAAAGAGAAGACAGTATTTGATTTTATGTTCTCCCAGATTCCTAAATGGTTGCTCTGCTGATGTGCTTAACATAAATTACTGCCACCCGTCAAGAAGTCCTCCCCCTCCTCAGCTTTTGTGAGCCGCCCCCCCCCCCCCCGGCCACTTCCCCTCCCCATGTTACAACTTCTCCTGTGCTGCCATGCAATTTAACAACAATACTAAATCAAAGACTGTTGTTTTAAATATCTTCCTCCTAAAATGTTTTATTTTTTACACACATCAAAAAAAATTCTCAAGCTGTTTCTGGCCATTTAAAACCAGTGCGCAGGGTGCATAGGTCCCTGGGTTCGACAGCACTGACTTAGAGGGATAAAAAGTCTTTATTTTATTAAATCTGTGGTAGTCTAGATTTTAATTTCTTATTATACCTGCTATACTGTAAAATTAAGTCTTATATGCTAAAACCAGACAACTAATTCTAGAAGCGGTGGAATGAAATTATGCCATTTATGGCCTCCAATGAGTTTATAGGTTTTATATAAGACAAAGAACATCAACAAACAAGCATTAGGAAGAAATTGTAATATTTTTAAAGTTATTATTTAATAAAGCAAAGGTCCACAATTAAAAAAACAAGAACTGATTCACAAAATGTGAAGGTGTGGTCCATTCATTTCATAGTAAAAAAAAAAATACTTGCAGCTCACAAATCATATTTAAAAAAAATCATAGCTCTAAAACTACTAAAACATAAGAGTCTATAACTTGAAAGTTGATGTCCATAAGGTAATCTACCACTCCAGCGTCGGCTACTCAAAAATTGTGTTTTTTCGGGGTCTGAATAGCTATTTTAATGGTATTCTTTAATTAATGAGATAAGATTCTTTTAATAATCAAAATAAATGGAATTTTTTTTAGATAAAATCGTACATATCCACTTCAGCACATCCATAAATATTCTCACCAAGACATTTTTTAAACTAGAACAATTTAATGAATGTTTGAGTTTATCATTGTCTCCCCCCCCCTCTTCCCCCAATGGGTGTAACAATGAAGGAAATAACAACAGCACTGGTGGTGCCGAACTGTCTTTTTGTGCTATGTGCGCATCCACATATTTTCTACATAAAATTGTGTGTGTGTACACCAGTGACACTGACAGCAACATTTGGATCTACGAAGTTTTTTCCGTGGACCACAACAGAGAGTTAGTAGATTCCATGTCTGATCTGATTTATGTTAACTACATAAATATCACTAACCATTTAGGATTATTTAGGATATCTCTCTTTATATACTCCTGTACAGTGATCACATGTCAGCCCACCCTCTTTTTCAATGCCAGCAAAAACTCAGTGGCCCTCTCTTCACTATCCCCAGTGGTGGTATTTCCTGTAAAATAATACTTCAGTGAATTCTGACCAGAAATAAATGGGTTTTTGAATAGCCGACATCAACATTAAAGTGGTAGATTACCTTCATTTATTAGAAGTTTGCTTTATACAACTGTTTTTTATTATTATTTTATAGATACTTCGATGAAACAAGGGAGACTACTACTTTTTTTTGTATCGGAAATGGACGTCGGCGCCGAAAAATCAGAGTTTTTAATTTTCCGATGTGTGTGTCTATTATTAAATTAGTTCTTTCGACATATATTTGAGTTCCGTTTCCGGCCTTATAATTTGGTAGACATCTTGGCCTACATTTCTAGCCAGCTATTTTGCTTTTTTCAATCGACCTTTATTTTGAAAATCTTTGGTATATATAAGACATCTTCGCATTAAAAAATTTTTGTGAAATAATAAGATAAGGTCCTTTTTATTAAATCTGTATGAGCATTAGATATTGATCTATATCTGTGCCAAGTTTCATTGATGTAGGTCGTGTCTCACGTTTGTTATGCTTGTCACAGTGACCCATATCACCATAAGTTGGCTCAGCCTAATTTCGACATGGCGTGGGCCACGCCCCCTTTTTAATGGTGGAAGTTGCTGATACTTAGGAAATATTTAATTATTACCACTATATACATCAAAATATTTTATATTTTGTGTTTCAGAATGCATTTTGAAGACATTTAAACTGGAATGTTTTAATTTGAGCTTTAAAAACCCTGCAGAGTCCATATTATAAATGATCAGAATTTTCCCTGTGCAACACGTTGTCATTGGCAACCATTCACAGCCACTTGCATAACGGCTATATCGTAGTACTATCTCAGAGTTTCATTCATAAGAGTTTGCCGTGTGCAAAATCTATTAAACCATTAGTCAGGGAAAGCTTTAATTAATTATTCATGTGCCAAAGTTGAAAGTTTAAAATAAGTCGACCCTAAACAGTATTTTAGTGATAGGGAATGCGTTGCCTTATATAAACAATATAGTCATTGCGCATGACGCGATCAGTGGAATGAGGTCACAGAATGTGGAGATGCAGTCCATGTTAAAAAATGACAAACCAAGTCGTACTTTAAAAATTCATAACTTTAAAACTACAACAGCTAAAAATATGATTTTGGTGTTATAATTATGTAAAAAATTAGCTCTATTCAACTGTGCCATTGTTTTTTTTTTACAAAATGTTTAAATTTTTTACCAAAGTATCTATTAATAATTATTTATTTTTTTACCCACACTCACTAGAGTTCTGTAACCTACAGTCTAATGCCTAAAATTACGGTTATACTTATACAGTTATTACAGTCACAGTATAGTATGTTTTTACTTCAAACTTTGCGCTTTGTAACTGTTGTCCCACTGTTGAGGATGAGTTTGAATGATATGTTATTGATATATAAATATAACTAAAGTGAACTTCATAATTGAAGATAAACTAAAAAATCAAATAAGGTTTTAAAGACTTACACTTACACCTTTTAAGTTGTAACTTTTAAGATTACGATAACAATTATAATAAATTAATAAACGTATGTGCTTCGTGAATGACAAAAGCTTGATTTTAACAATTCACATATCGATTTCCTTGAACTGGTGAGATAATAAAGTTTATTCTATTATTAGAGAGCTCCTGCTCTATTAAACAGTAAACGTTTTCAAAATCAACGTCAGTAGTTATTTCCTCGCAAAATTATGGCATACTAGGCCTGATGCCTAATGTATAATGGAAATAACAAAGACTGAAAATTCGCAAATTCATTTTAATGAGTGAACATATTAATGGAGCAAAAAAAAAATATTCAAAAAGAAAATCTTGTAGAACTAGTAGAAGATAATAAAAAAAAAAACAGATTTGATTTTATATATAATATATATATAATATTTATAATATTGTCAATATCAAAATTTAAAAAGTCGCAATATTGGCAATAAATTGGCAGTATAATAATAATATAAGTATTCAGTGTTGTCAGAATTTACCTTTTAAAAATATTAATTAATATGCCTATTAGTAAACAGTAAATATTTTTGAGAATTAAAATGCTTAAATTAAAATATTCAAGCTTACAATACTTATAATGGTTAATATCGAAAGTCTATAGCGCTATTAAATACTGCACTGTGCCACATAATATATAATATATATTATATTATTATAATTATATATATATAAATATGTTATTTTAAATTAGGAAAATATACTAAATACTATATACCCTCTTTGCTCGATTTCCTCCTATTATTGAAGTATATGATGCCTAATGATGTGTTTCCGATATCCAGCTGTGAGTAATTAAGAAAAAAAGAAGTACGAGGTATATGAAAATCTGAAACTGGGGAAAAAAAAAATAATGATCAAAACAATTTTATCTATCCCAGAATTTAATTATTATTTTTTAATTGAACGCAACTAAACACGTTTGTATATGGATACTTGCAATTTAATTTCAAAAGTGGAATCGCCGGTATTTCAAGAAACGAAATGTGACCTTACCTACTATTGCAATAGAATGGCTCCTTTTCCTTTAATTAAACTAGCTTACCTTGCTGTAAAACAGATTAGTAAACCTATCGCAAATTCTATAAAACGAAGAGCAAAATCACACCCTTTTTTTCGAACATATATATGTATGCCACCTGCCCAATGTAAGTATACTGAGGGCATTATTATAATAAAACTAATGATGACTAAACTAAGTCTAAGACTAAGAAGACTAAACTAAACACTAAACTGTACTATTAATAATTTATTAAATTTTATTTAAAAAATAAATGTTAAAAAAATATTTATTATCATATATTAATGAAATTTAATGATCATTAAAAAAATTAATGATATATTCCCAACACTTGGTCCGGGTATTTTGAGAAAAAATTCCTTTCTAAAGAAAATAAATTCATCCTATTTATTTATTTACCCGAGTTAAGACATTACACCCATGACAGGCCATGAAACTCACTACCTCCTCTCCTTTGATGCCACAAAAACTCTCGTCTCTTCACTCATTCTTTCAAAATTTGACTACTGTAACATTCTTCTCTCAGGCATTCCTCAACACCACATAGAAAAACTTCAGAAGGCACAGAACTCAGCATGCAGACTCATTTTTAAATCAAAGAAACATGACCACATTCAACCACACATGCGGCAACTCCACTGGCTTCCAATATCCTCTCGCATCAAATACAAGTCTTCCAATCTTTGCTTCAACTCGTTCACTGACCCTCACTTTCCTGTCTATCTCTCTGAACTGTTGCTTCCTTACATCCCCACAAGACAACTACGTTCTTCCATTGACAGTAGAACCCTCTCAATCCCAAGAACTAAAACTAAGACCATCGGTGAACGCTCCTTCTGCTTCCATGGGCCCACGTTCTGGAACCAGCTCCCCTTCCATATACGTCATAGTGAAACCTCGTCCATTTTCAAAAAGTCCCTTAAAACTCATCTGTTTAGGTCCGCCTATGACCTGTGATGCACCCTCCTTGCCCTACCTAATTTTCTGTTTCGGTTTAATCCTGAAGTGTCAAAGTGTCCTCTTTTTATAGCCATTTTCATTGTTTCTATAGAATAGTATTTACTATCCTAGTGTCTCATTTGTATTTACTTAGTTTACATGTTTTAATAATTGTAAAGCGCTTAGAGCTTTATGATAAGCGCTATATAAAAATGCCTAAATAAATAAATAAATAGAGGAACATGGACATGATAAATAACATTAAAATAACAACACCCAATAATCGTCGCTTCCCCCCTAAAGAAAAAAAGTCAACCTATTTACCATTACCTGAGTTAAGATGTCGTGCATGAAGCTTGCTGCGTGACAGCCTTTTTTGTCATTCAGTACTATTAATATAAACCACGTGGAGTTGGGGGAAGGCAGTTTTTTTTAAGAGGAAGCAGGACGAAACAGAAGCAAAATGTATATAAGAGATAACCCAATTTGGTAGAATATAGGCCGATTTTTTTTTTTTTATTAGTTTGAATTTTAAAATTTATAATATATTATTTTTAATAGTGTTACAGTAATTTGATTATCATTTTGTAAAACCCATAATTGAAAACCTGATTATTATTTTTGAAGTTTACCATTCTTAGTCTCAGTTCTAATGTAGACCTCCTGGTGGTCAAATCATATTTCAGCATCATAAATTTAATCAATGACGATAAAATGAAAAATAGTAAAAAAATATCTGTGATAACCGTTTATATTGATTTCTTAATAAATATTTTATTAACGTGTTATTTATTCAATTAATGTTATATTTTTCTAACGAATCACTCAGCTTATTTTATTATTTACAGTAGGAGTTTTATGATTGAAAAACTGTCTTTTTTCTGTAAACAATCTAAACAACAATTTGACCAGTAGTAATTGTACTAGAATAAAAAAATTAAGCTTTTGTCATGTACTTCATTTAGTGTAAGTTACGGTAGATCTACATCTCCATCATTGAGTTGTTCTTAAAGAAAATATCTGCATTCAGCAAGTGATCAATAAACCATTTATTTATTTCAAATCCTTAAAAGAAAATTTACTTTCAAAATCAATTATTACTTAATGGGTTATCTGAATATGCTTACATTTGTTAAACCTTCAGACATTGTTTTTAGTCATCTGTAAAAGGGGAGATAAACAAATAATTGTTAAAATGCGAAACACTGGTTAAATTTAAATACCATTGATTATCTAGTCTAAAATATGAGTTTTCTACATCTGCTTCATTGTTAGCAATGCCTGACTCAGCAATTTAAATTTTAATAAACTGATCATGACCTTAAAAAGTATATAGACCTATGTCATTAAAAATGTATAGTGATGATGCATGCCTATTACATTATACTAAACTATAGCATATTTTTCATACACCATGTACTATAAATAAAGCTAATTTGTTTAAAGCAGCCGTTCATAAATACCATGTACTATAAATAAAGCTCATTTGTAAGAGCAGCTGTTCATACACCATATTCTATAACTTATTTGTTAGAGCAGTGGTATCTCCTAATGTGTGCACTGCAACACCCTTGGAGCTGTGGCTTCCTGACAATATTCTCCCAATTTTATTTTCATTTTGAATACATTAGGTTAGAACGCAACATCTAGCAGACCTGAAGTAAACTAGTACTCATTAATGACTCTTTGCATAAGCCTTTGTCTCTGTCTAACCCAGGGATCAGCAACCATTTGTTGTGTTAGGAGCCATTTTTATGAAATAGATTATTTTTTTTAGTGATTTGACAATTAATCGGAATCGTATCGGAATAATCGAAATATCTGGATTTTTCCAAAGCATCGGGAATCGGAGCTGAATAATTCAGACCCGATTCCGATACCAAAATGATTTTATCAAAGACACTAGCTACATCTTTGTATTATTAAAATGGAATTATTGATAGATGTGTTTATATAAACCTTTCCAAGACATTGTTATAAAGCATATTGTAAACCTTCAATAGCAAGTTAATAAACTTTTCTAATCAATTCTCAACTTTTATATTAATTAAATATGTTAATACCTGGGCACAGTAATACATATATGTAATAATGGCCAGGAATCGGAATCGTGTCGGGAATCGGGATAATTGGGTAGAATCGGAATCGTTAAAAATTTTGGTATCGTCCCATCACTAATTTTTTTTATATCTGCTACTGCTACCCGCTAATAAAATATTTTGAGAGCCGCATGTTATTTAAGATAACTTTTAAAAAGAGCCACATCTATTTCTTCAAAGTGCTACATGTTGTTGACCACTAACCTAGCCCTTTAGTTTAAAGACATTATTTGATATTTCGCAGTGCACTTTTAGACTTAAAACATAGGGTCCTATGGGAAAACCTGGATTCTATAAGTATAAGGGCACTGAGAATTGAAAAAGTTTGGGAAGCTCAGTTTTAGTTTATTATTTGTGTAAAAATGCCAGCCAATCAGGAATGTTACATAAATGATTTTTACCTACATTTTAAAGTTTTTATTTGAATCGTCACATACAGTATTTTTTTCTTAAAGGAGGGTGGGTTATAAGTTACAAATGGGTTTACATTCATCACAAATCCCATAATTTAGAATTCTGTTGATCTTGCCAATTTTATATATTTATTAGAATCTATTTATTATTCGATAGGTGTGAAGTAGTGATACATTTAGTTCCATACCATTTGGTTATTGGGCAGCTATATTCATTAATTGTCTCCCATATGAAAATATGGGATAAAATTAATGAGCTATAAATAACCTCACAGCTTTATTTAAATTTTACTAAGACTTAAGCCATTGTCTATATAAGCCCATATGTTGGGTTTAAACATTTAGTAGAGAAAGATTAATTGGCTGGACTTGTGTATGGATGTTTGCAGACCAGCAGTGGCCTAAAGCTAAATTTTATTTTTAGTGGCCTATGTAGGTGTGTAAAAAAAAACAACTATTCTCTTTAAAGTGCCCCTTATTTTACTTAAGTGATGCCATAGTGGGCACAAATTTTTGAAAAGTCTTTAAATATAGCAATTTAGCATTTGAGCAACAATAAAAGTAATTGAGTACCACTAAAATAATATTTGAACAACAATAAAATAGTAATTTCGCATCTGAGCAAATATAAAATAGAAATAGATCACCATATATATATTGTTCACCAATTATCTATTAACAAATGCAAACTTTTTCTCTTTTTACCAATATACAAGTGAACATTAGATAATACCTATATTCATTGCTTATAAATTAGAACAATGTAGTAAGAGTGTGCTCCAATAAATGAAATAGGCAGGATTTCACATACAGAACAAAACGTTTGCTCTTTATAACATTTTTGCTTTATTTATTTAATTTATCTGAAATATTCTCTTCCAGTTTATCATTGGTGTGAAGTCAACTTTCGACTCCGATTAATGGGTTTAGGACAAGCCAAAAATGTCGAGAAACTGCCTGACAAAGAAGCTATTGAATTAGGTGGAGAGATGCTTGGAGAGTTCATTGTTTTTTCACTAGCTTGCCTTGTTGTTATCTCGGAATATTTAAGAGGCTCCAGGAAAGAAGCCGCCAAAGAAGAAAAATCCAAACAAGAACTTGGACAAATTCAATGTAAAATATCTGAAATAGCTGCAGTCACAGAAGTTCAACAGTCTCAAATTTTTGATTTGCAGAAACAGATTGACATTTTAATGGAAGAAAAGATTAAACAACAATTGAAAAATACCAGTGGTCAATATGTAAAAAAACTATTGGGATGAAAGCTGTGAAGAAATTGTCTTTGCTATTTTTGTGTGAATTGAGAGACAGCAAATTTAGGTTTTTCCTGTATAATTTGTTTTTTTAAAAACCGGTATATTATTTTATCGAAGTGATTTTTCCAAATCATCGTGCAAGATAATGATTGGTACTAAAAACCATTGGTACTGTACGAATGTTAATTTGTAAATTGATTTTTTATAACTTTATTGGTCTTCCTATTTTTACTTCCCTTAGGCAAACGCTGCATCTATTTAATTACTAGTAATTATGGACTACTTTTTCCCTTTCTATGATTATATATTAAGCCTTCTTGAATGCTATCGTCTCAGTGTTGCCCTTAAATATTCTTTAAATTTAAAGGGTAATGCATCCCACTTCATAGGATATGGGACAGTGTATAATTATAAGAAAAATTGTAATATATTTGACATTATTGATCAAATGTCAATTAATATTATGTTCCATCAAATATATTAATATTGCAAATTTGGAAATCACACAAAAGAAATGCAGTTTCTAGTAGTACCCGGGATTGAAATTTCCTTATGAGAAAGTCTTAAGCCTTGTCAGAAGTGTTGGTTTCAATGAAGGCATTGGTGTTATCATTTCTAATCAATACCATTTCCATATGCTGAAGTCAGATGGATGTCACATATAAAAATAAAAAAACTAATTGAAGATAAAAAGTGAGGAATAAAATAAATTGTACTCCAAAAAGTATATTTGCATAAATGAAATAATGTGACATTTTGTATACAACTTTTATGAAACTTTAAAAATATAACTTGTTTGTGTCATTATATTATGCCTGAGTAATATTGTGTATGCAGTGGCAATCAAGGCATCGAGCTAATCAATAATTGGCCATCTTTCTTAAGAGGACATGTAGTAAATTAAAAAATTGTAACTTTCAGATGGTTTTTAATTTGAGTTAAAAAAGTGTTTTGTGTACTGTCTCAGTCAGTGTCTTTTAAGGGACAATATCAATATAATCTTTTTATCACTTGAAATGTATAGGCAATTAAACAAATGGATGATGATGTTCCTGTATAAAAGTTATAATACCGGTACATAAAAATACATGTGTGAAAAATAATGAAATGGAGTATTCAGTGTAAGTGTACATATAAAGAGTAAACTATCACCATATGAAGTTTTTTTTCTTTTCCAATTATATATTTGAAACCTTAGTCCAGTCTGTCTAATGAAAAATAATTTATTATACTCTTACAAAAAACTAGGCATACTATAATATCCGTTCAGCCTGTGATGTTGTTTAAGTTTAATTACTTACCATTGGAAAACGATTTGTATTTGTTGAGCACATTCACACAGGATTACCAATGTGTAATATAAAATAAGCATTTTAGAGACCAAAAATATTTTGACATTATGCCTCAAAATATCTTAAATTAATCATCTAATGTTCATAGTTTATTATTTACTTAAATAACAATTATAGTGATATGCAAATTCACTATTGATTTATGACCCTGTTTCAATAAATGAATTATCCAAGAAATCAATTCATATTTAATAGTATTTACTGTTCTATTCTAACAGGTAAAAGTAAACATAAAAATTGTAAAAACATTTCAACTTTTTGTTCAAACACTATTAGTATTAAAGGTTCTTTACTGTTTCACCACCCTAGATTGTGAGAAATCTAATGATCTAATGCAATAGTTACTACCCTGTCATTAAGATTACTTAAAAACATTAACGTATTTAAAGTCACTTTTTATTAAGTGTAATGCTGCTCTTAAGATTACATAAAAGAGCTTTTAATTTAAATAAAATTCAAAAGTTCCAGGTTTAAAACTTCTAAGACCCTTGAGAATCCAATAGAATTAAAGCTTCACATACTCCTAGTATTTAGCCCTGATTTATAAAAAGCATCAGGAACGAAACAACCTTTAAATGTTTTTTCACATCTACTGGCTTTGAAATTTAATTTAAAATAATTATAAGAAAGATATGAAAATAACAATATATAAATTTTTTTAAAAAGACTATCCATCAAAGACGAGTTTTAGCCCTCTAAAAAAATTTATTAAATCATTTAAAATGTCTTAAACTAAAATGCATTACCGGGGATGCAAAAAAAAGTATGTGTGCAGAAAATTATTCTATAACAGTGTTTCTTAAAGTGGGCAGTACCCCCCCCCCACCCCCCCAGGGGTTGGTGAGATGTCAGGGGGGGGGGGGTTAAAAGCCCAGGTTGTTTTAAGGGGCGGTGGGGACTTCTTAGGGGGGGGAGGGGGGTTTTTTTCTAAAAATTTTTTTATGTTTGGAGTAGAAAGAAAAAAATTTTAGAAAATAATTCTATAACAGTGTTTCTTAAAGTGGGCGGTACCCCCCCCCCACCCCCCCAGGGGGTGGTGGGATGGCAGGGGGGGGGGGGTTAAAATGCTCAGTTGATTTAAGGGGGCGCTGGGACTATCTAAGGGGGTGACGGTGGATTCTTTCATAAAACTTTTTTAATGTTAGAGTTAGAAAGAAAAAAATTTCAATGAAAAAAAATGAATAGTTTAAGGGGCTATTAACAAGATATATTTCCTTAGTATGACGTCATCCATATATTGTAAAAAGGTAGTGAATGTACTTTAAAGAGGGGCCACCAACAGATTTTCACACATTCACTGGAAGCAGAAGTACACATATTAAATCATAAATTTTATTCATTTATCAATGTAAGTTTTGCAAATGAATAGGCCTATATTTATTTTAAATTGACTTAAGTTTAAGGCAATCCCTTGTTTGAGATGGTCATCATCCTGCTATTATCCTGCTGACAGGACAAAACAAGCTGGTATTATTTCATTTAGTGTCTTTTGTCATGAAAGTTTTTTAGTCTTGCTTCAGAAGTCAAATAAACGTCATTTTTATAAGGGGGAGTGACGCAACTTTGCATAAGTGTTACTACCGAGTACTTATAAATTAACGGAGAGCTTGCCATCGTGGTTCTATTTATATTTTTTATAAAATTACATATCTTTACTTTTATAGTTTCATCTATACCAACATCTGGTGGAAAAAAAAAAGAATGTTTATTGATTTTCACACAGTGTGAGTGTGTAAATAGTACAAGTCGGTTTTAGAAGGTGTTTGACACTGTTAAAGATATAAATGTTTAAAAAAAGACCCCAAAACCATCAGACATGACTTAGCTGTGGTGAGAAATATTTGCAGATTTCAATTAAATTAATTTACACTTGCTGTGAGAATATGCTAATGTTATTTAAACCAAATGAATAAGCTATACGTTCATATCTAAATTAACGTCTCCTCAGTAAAGAAAAAAAAAAGTGTGTGGGGGTGGGGGTGACTTTATAACATGTGGTGTCACTAGGATTGGTGCTACCCAGTACGGTAAACCCATGGTGCCACCCTCCTCCTTTTCAGACTTCCCCATTGGCCTAACTGAGTGTGTCTGCTCTGCTCTGGTGAGACCCTGCTCTGGTAACACCCTGCTCTGGTAACACCATGGTCTGGTAACAACCTCTTCTGTTTGTAATCTGATCTGATGTAACCTAATCTCACCGCAAATCTACTGATGGCACCCTGCTCTTTTTTTTTTAAAATTGACACCATGTTTCTTGTGACCATCTGTTGTGGTGACACCCTGCCCTGTCTGGCAGCTCTCTGTTCTGATGGAGACCTGCTCTGATGGAACCAGCTCAGGGGATAACATACTGTTATGTGGCTTGGTGTCCTACTGTTCTTCTTCCTCCATATCTTAAGGGCCCACGATCAATTTATTGATCATTTTGGGTCCTATGCATGTAGATGGGATTTGCAATGTTTCTGTTCCTGGTGTTGATGAGGAAATTTCACTGATTTCCAGTGCCACTTTGTGAGGGAATCATGCACTAGGGCAACCTGCTATGCTGGCAACCGGATCCTGTGGTACAGTGATCTGGTGGCACCCTGCTCATGTAGCTCCTGCAAATTTCCAATTGGTGTCACCGGTTGTGAGGGTGTCATCCGAAAACGGACCTAGCATCGTCGGCTTCAGAAGAACATTTAATGTCATTATTATGCACTGTGGGAATCGTCAAGAAGCTTCATCTTGCTGTGATATATAATTAATATTTCTGAAAGCATTGATTTAAATTTAAGAGTTTCGTTAAATTAACTTTAACCAGACATGAAGAAATGACATCACTTCACACATATTTAGCGTATTGGATGGTGTAAAGTAAGTTAATAAAAATGCTTTTTTTGGATTAAGTTTAAACAATTAAAGAAAAACGCTGTTTATGTTTTAATTAAAAGTTCAAATACATTTAGTACATTTCTTTCATTTAATAAAGATCCTTGAATTACTAGCGCTAACGACTGTCCTGAATTATTTTCTTCCTTTTTTTCCTGCCATAATTCAGGTTTGGGTGGAGGGGGGGGGGGAGGGCTAAAGAGCCTTTTTATGGTACCATGGGGGCGGGGGCGAAAAAGGTNATTAAGTTTAAACAATTAAAGAAAAACGCTGTTTATGTTTTAATTAAAAGTTCAAATACATTTAGTACATTTCTTTCATTTAATAAAGATCCTTGAATTACTAGCGCTAACGACTGTCCTGAATTATTTTCTTCCTTTTTTTCCTGCCATAATTCAGGTTTGGGTGGAGGGGGGGGGGAGGGCTAAAGAGCCTTTTTATGGTACCATGGGGGCGGGGGCGAAAAAAGTTTGAGTGGTCTGTTCTAGAAGGTTCGATTTTTTCTAAAACCATTTTATTATCAAATAAATTTCCTTAGTACGTCTTATAATTTCTATAATTTTAAATGAGTTTCCTCGAATGTTATGAAATAAGATTTAACGATATTTTTGCACGTTTCGAAAATTCTAAAAAGTTCAAAATTATTGTTCCCTTTAATGGCCTAAGCCTATGCTATACGGCTATATTGTACAAAAATGAAGTTGAAGGCTTAGATTATAGTATAATCTTCTGTGTGTATTGATGGATCTTGGCCAAAGTTGAACCCCTTCTTAAGGATATTTTAAAGTGTACCTCAAGGAACGGGATACATAGGTGAACAAGATCTTACCGGGGAACAAGATCTCACCGTTGAATGGAATGTCACAGGGCTGGCGGTTTTTTTTATATTTCGCAGTCGGAAAGTTAGGCAGAGCCATGGTAGGGATCATGATTACAAGTTGCCGTTGACGGGTATGAGGCCAGAGGCGAAAGTGGTAACCTCTGGCCGAGGATTCAAATAATGCAGCCGTGAGAACGCTGCCCCTTGGCAACCGTTTCGTCCCTGCTACAGCGTGAACTAGTCGCGTTGTGGAAACCCACTGTGGAATCCCTCTTATAGGGCGTCCGACGCTTTCCCGGGATGGGTGGGGGAAGATATTAGGACGTAAATTTTTCCATCCCAACTCCTGAGAAAGTCGATCGAGTGCACTGTTTAAACGCATAGTGTCGGATCGACCGGGTGCCTCCTCGTTGGGGCGGCCCCCTGGCGGGGGGCTTGGGTGAGGGGCCCGTGTGGGGGCCGTCCTGTCGAGTGGGCATCTCCAACGTGCCGCTCCGCGGCCCGATACGTCGGACCGGGGAGGGGTAATTGGGGGGGGGGGCATAAGAGTCTAGACTCGCCCCGCTGACGCCATTTCTTAATGTAACATTTCATTTCAATGGAATGTCACTGGATATCCTTTTTTTCCTTCAAAGCAGCTATTTTATTGCTCTCCGATTTAGTATAGAATGATGCAAAACTTAAATCAAATATGCCCCAAAATTCATCCCTGCTATGGGTTTGCGCCAAAAGCCATCCATACATTTTGAATTTATCAACAATTTTCTCCCCAACTTATCCCTTTCGGACCCCTCGATCCCCCCCCCCAAACACACTTTCCGATCAAATAGTCAAAGTGACAGTAGAGTAAAATTTCCTGGTAAAAAGGGGCACTGGTTGTTAGGCTAATAATTACAATGATTTTCTAGAACTGACAAAGTGAATTTATTTATATTTGCGCTTTATATATTCCAGAGGCGAAACTGAGCTGGGACCAAAAGACTACCACCAGTTTATGCAGGGTGGGGGTGCCGGAATCAGAGCTGCCACTCGGTGCCCCCCTTCCCATATTTTAAGAAAATAAACACTGTTAATAGTCTTTTTCTCTCCAAATACTATACACAGGATGTGGCTTTTATGACCCAGCGTGATATCCAGTGGTGTACTGACTGAATCCCACCAAAGTTCCCTTTAAGCTGCGCGGCAGTTTTGAGTATCCGCGCAGCAATTTTGAGTATCCGCGCAGCAGTTTTGAGTATCCGTGCAGCAGTTTTGAGTATCCGCGCAGCAGTTTTGAGTATCCGCGCAGCAAATTTCCATGTACGTGTGTGTTTGTCTTTGTGGGCTGTAAAATTTTTCACACAAAAAAATTGATGCTGTAAAACTTTGTACACAACTGTATGATTTTGCACACAAACCAGCAAACCTTAGAAGGAACATTGAATCCCACCCGTGGCCTGCCGTAGTTCAAGAATTCAACCAATGATCTTGTGGATTTATGCTAGAAAAGCCCCCCCCCCCCCCCAAATTTTTTTTTTTTATTTTGTTAATAATTAAGTAACACACGTTGCTGTCACTCCTTCACCTCCTTGGTCCGTTGTTGATCCCGATTTCATCCAAGAGCCTGTTTGTAAAGGAAATATTATGAGGTGTGCATGAAATAGTGAAATAGGTTTACAATACATTTCAGCTGATGTTAGTGTTCATGCGTGTTTAAGAACCACATGTTTCGCTTTGCCTGTCACAACAATATGGGCTGGATAGAAATTTTTGTAATTAATTACCTATATGGCGGTTTATTCGGGATTTTGCCTAACTAATGTACCATTTATAGCAACAACTCTGACAACAGCTTGCCAGGCCAGTGCATTTGTTTAAAATGTGATTCTGAAATTTACATTGTTTAACGTATAGTATGTGTTATAGGCCTGTAGCCTATAGGTTAATAAATATTTCAAATATCAATTTTAATTTGAAAAATAGTATATCTTTACTTTAAAGGAGCATGTATTAATAATACAGTAAATAATATTTAACAAGACTTCTAAAACCGAAAAAAAAAAAAAAACAACGAATAAACAACACGGGAAAGAAATAAAGTGAAACTTTTTAATGATGTTTGACAAAGTGTCGGAAGTCACAGGAAATTACAGATAAAATGGTAGCAATTATTAATTTCGGAGAATATGTTGACTTGGAAAATTCCAATTTACGCTTCATCTGTGTTACTTTTACCGTTTATCATTCATGAATAGAATATATCCAACATGATTAATGTTTTCAATTTAGCTCTTTTCTTATTGGTGACTATGTCACCGCCCACAAAAAGCCTTCACTTAGCTGGCACTTGGAATAGCAACAATTTTTTCTTATTTCTTGCTAAGTTTGGATTTCAAAAGACAGACCCAAAAGAATTAGAAAACACCCAGGGCTATATATATGGCAATATTACAAATTCAAGCATATCATCTTCAACAAAGGAATTGACTCTTGTTGTTGTAGATAGTGAATATTTTCTAGATTTTTATGGAAACAGTTCTCTGGCTCCTTCACTTGCTTGTCCTGCCATGTTTAAAAAAATAGATCAGATAGCATTTGATTATATATGCAAACCAAAAGGCGTAGAAGATTTCCTTAGAAAAATTCCATGTCCAACAAAAAAATTGTGTGTTGATGAGGATAATCCAGCAAATGTTGTTCCTGGTTACCAGTTTACATACAAAGTTAGAGACGTCCAAAGACCAAGGTGAGTAACATCGAATAAACACCAGTGGACCACATCTATAATAAATCACCTGAGGTCGATCCTGTTAAGTTCAATGTAGCCCCCTTCCTGGCATTGTCATTTAATTTTCACAGATTTGAGACAACTTCATAATACAACAAACAACACGCCCCCCCACCCCCCTGCCCCAGATGGGAGACTTTATTAATGCAAATTTATGTGAATAGGGGCCATCCATAAGTATAAGTGACATCACGCAAATTTAGCTGATTTTTTACTCCTCCCCCCCCCCCCTCCATTCCTTCCGTCACAAAAAGTCCCTCGCAAATTTAGCTGATTTTTTACTCCCCCCCCCCCCCCTCCATTCCTTCCGTCACAAAAAGTCCCGTCCCCCCTTTTTTTTCTTCTCCAAATATAATGCATAAATTATAGGGATACAAAATTAAAGTTATTAAACAAATTAAGTATTGATAACCATGTTTGTTGGATACAACAACTACAAAAGAACACTTAAACTTAAAAGCTTATTGTGTAAATAATAAAGATTATCCAAAGTTCATATGACATCATTTACCAATTGGCAAATTTAAACTGCAAAGCAATATTTTTGATTTCCCTATTCTTTATGAATTTTTAATTTTGTTTTACTAAATATCTCAAGCTAATTTTTTGTGTTTAGTTTTTAAGGTCATTATGTTTAATATCCTTTAATTTACCAGTTTTCAAATTTTCAGATTTTGGTATTTAAGCCTGGTTTCATGCTACAGAGATACATCAGGACGGAAGTGTGAATGGCACTCAAGCAAAGATTCAGAAATTACCATAAATTATGACATTTGGTTAGTCAATGGAAACCCATCAGTGAAGGGTCTAAACCCTTTTGAGCACCAGTTTTCATTTGAACTGCACGACGTTTTTGAAATTCACCTTATCGCCTTTACATCTTGTGTCATCATCTTTCTGCTTTGGATTTATGCTTTCACAAGCAACCAGCGCCATATTATAACATGTCTTTTTACTGCATGCATTTGTGGAGAGCTGCTCAGCATAATGATGAATTTGACTCATGTCAGCATTTTTGCCTTCAATGGAATAGGCGCAGAATGGCTTGGAAAAATAGGAACACTTCTTGATTTGGCAACACAATGCCTTGTCATGCTCTTATTAATTCTCCTGGCTAAAGGATTGGGAATCACCACTGATCAGTTTAAATGGAGATCTGTGATATTTACATTGTGGGCTGCATATACTTTACTTAATGTCTTTCTTTATATATGGAATCTGGTAAGTTTGAAATTTTTAATATGGATTTTTATTATGTTCTGTCAGTTAATTTTTTAGCAATATCTAATAAAAGTATACTTTTATATGTTAAAAATTTCTCTAAGAAAAATTACACCATGGTGCATTAGATGAACATCTGAAACATTAGCAAGATGTAGAAGGTTAGAATTTGTCCCCATATATATATAAGCAAATAGCTGGTTGAAATGGACTAGTAGCCCAGCTAACTATTTAAAGTGTGGAGGTAAATCCTGAGTAAAAAGAAAACCTCGAACCCAGAAGTAGGACATTAGCTTGAGACTATGAAACAAACAAAAGACAAGATATTATCATAATGGATAATTTATTTCAGAAAAATTAATTTGCAATTATAATATGCAGTTTACCATAAATCAGATTAAAATGGAGAATTTTGTCAATTTTCCTTTTTAAAGAAATCAAGCAACAGAGTTTTTGCTTATCCCTGGAAAATTAGACAAAAGTGATTGTCATCCCTGGGTCCCAGGATGAAATTAATTGTATATAAATTATAATATAAACCCATTGAAAGAATGAGTTCTAACAATCTCTTAATTTTGACAGCCCTAACAATTAAAAAAAAACTATGTTATGGTCTCTTAAAAGGTTGGTCACTTGCCTCTAGAAGTTGCTTCATTTTCCCTGCATAGCCTTAGTTATAGATAACTTGCTAAAATATTCTTTAAACCAAAATTCAGGCTCTCGCTTGATGAACCCCAGTTGTGATCACAAAATCACAAATGGGTAATGAGATAAGATACAATTCTTTTATTAATTCAAATAAATGGAAATTTGTTTTGAATTTATAAATTTTCAGCGTATGGATAAACATTCTAATATCATTTTTTGAACTAGAACAATTTAAACATAAGAAATTTTAAGTGCTTCTCAAGTGCAGAAAACTGCCATCAAATATCATCAATTTTCACTTCCTTAATGACAATATTGACTAGGTTTATTATTGGTTATTTGATTTCATAACAGCCGTTTAAAATGGAAAATAACTTGTTTGCAGGCAAACATTAGACTAAGTTTTATTATTACTAATTTTAAACCGATTTGAGCTGCACAAAAATTAGAACAATATTGAGAATGGGGAAACACAATCTACAAGTAAAAAAATATCATTTTAATATTCATTTACAAAGAAAATGGTTTGATGATATTTTTATGAAACCCCCTGTTTATAATTATAATGCTGCTTTCATCGACAGGTTGAAATTGACAATATTATATCAAACACAGATGAGTGGCAAACTTGGCCAGGTTACGCAACATTAGCATTTAGAATCATTGTGATGTTCTGGTTCTTATATGAGCTGCGGCAGACGTTTGGCCAGACCAATCGCGATGACATGAGTTTTGTGATGCATTTTGGAGCTTTCTTTCTGGTGTGGTTCTCTTATCTTCCAGCATTAGCACTTGTCACTTTACAGGTGTCGCCACTGTGGAGATATAAGACTATACTTAGTGAGTATAATTCAGCATCTCATTTCTCTCTTTAAGGTGCCTAAATTTATATTTGTCTCTGACCAAATGCCTTTTTAATACTTATTTTAAAATGTCCATTGACCTAAAAGATGTTTGAAAGAAAAGTGTAAATTTTTTCTATTTGAAAGCAGTGCCACAATAACTGTAATAATACCAAAGCTGTTTTTAAATCTCTTATTATTGAATTTTTTTTTTTTTCAGGTATTAATTATGCAGTGGAAATTCTTGCATATGCGGTCCTTGTTCATTTGTTCTGGCCAGCTCGATCCATTTTGTTTCTTGTTGAAGGAGAAAGACCATTACCTACTTATGATCTTGAGATTACTGGTAAAATTAATGTAACGGCTAGTTTATTTTCACATTTTTTTTCGGCATGGGAGAAGATAATGTAAAAGCAAAATCTTGAATATAAAAATAGCATAATGTTACATAAACCCAACTGAAAATCAAATATGTTAAGTTATATACATCATTTATTAAAATTGTAATTTCAGTAATAAGACAGCTTTTTAGATAAGAAAAATATGGGGATGGAAATTTAATTTTAAAATAAATATAATTGACCTAAAAAAAAGTATAGGTAACATCTTTAACACATGAGTTGTATGAATAACTGCAATATTAAAATATATTCAATAAAATGCACACATATAATTTGCTGTCTGAGAGAGAAGTTAAATAAAAGGAGGTTTAATAAACATTCATTTTAAAAAAGTTACGTTTTAGAATGTGCCCTTTCCAGAATTTTTAGTTTTGTTTTGAAAGAATATATTGAAATATCTAAAATATAATTTAAAAAAAATCTTTATAATTTTCAGGTTTGTTAGATGATATGCAGGAATCTACTGTTTTCGATCATGAAGGTGATGAAATAAAAGACAGCATGTTGGGCAGGGACAAAGCAAGCGCTTCAGATCAAGCCACAAAAAGAGGAGATATCCAAATGAAAAGTAAGAAAAGTTTATTTAAGTCCACCAATGGTCGCTCAAGAGCCAGCAATGGAGCAATGCTATCGAATGGGAGTTTACAGTTTCATCAAGACAACAAGGCATATGACAGAAATGAATTGGATGAGAAAGATTTGTGACACTTGAGCATAAATAATCAACAAATATAATGTGCTTGAAAAGAAAAGATCTGTTGTTTACCAGATTAAGATATAGTATTCGGTTGATATTATTTATATTTGTGACTTTTTAATAGAATAGGTTTATCCTATTTATAGTCTGCTATTCTTTGTTGTCCATATTTTGATGTAGCTCTGATTTTTAAATAAAAAAGTAGAAGATTCATAATTGAGTATATGTATATATAAATACATAAGGGTTGCAGAGATTAAGTGATATCAGCCTTTTTTTGTCAAATTAATTAGCTAATCGGACTATGGAATAAAATAATACTAACCAGATGTTAGAAGTTCTTATAAAATGTTTTATTTTTAAATTAGATACCATATTTAGCAATTTTGTATCAAATCAGATGTTTGCAAGTATCTAAGCTGCAATCATATTTATAATCCTGTAGCCCACCCCATTGATGATCAAGAATCTTTTTCCATTTTAACTGTTGTCACTCTCTCCTGTCTCTTCAAATCATTCCCATTATTCAGAGTTGCCATATAAGTTTCTTCTCCTTGTGTTCTTTAGCCTCCCTCTTGTCCTATCTCACACTATCTGTGTTCCACTTCAGTGACTGGCAGGCAATGTTTGAAGGCATACTCAGAGCTTTCACTTCTTCTTTTTTTTTTTTTTTCTGCTGAAGTCATGTTTTATGGAAGAGTGCTGTTCTTTTACTTAGTTTTTAATCTATTAGATCCGCAACCTTTTTTTACTCACGTAACACCAAGGGCCCTCCCAAAACTCAACAATAACCTTTTCTCTTCTTCTTTTTTTTTTTTTTCTGCTGAAGTCATGTTTTATGGAAGAGTGCTGTTCTTTGACTTAGTTTGTAATCTATTAGATCCGCAACCTTTTTTTACTCACGTAACACCAAGGGCCCTCCCAAAACTCAACAATAACCATACAAGTACAAGTAAGAAAAAGTTTTAAAATTTTATATTTGTGTCAAAATTTTATAAAGCAATTTATGTTCATTATCATTTGTTTAAGCACAAACGCTTAACATTTATTATCAGAACAAGAATCCAAGACCTAGTTTACATATAAAAGTAGTTGAAAATTTTATAGTTGAAATGACTTATTGGAAATTCTAGCATATAATTCTTAGACTGAAACTGAAACACAGAAAACCTTCCATTTATACTTTGGTAAACTTGAATTTCAGCATCTCTTTATTCCTAAACTCCATAATCTCCAAAAAAACATAAATGAAACTTGATTTGTCAATGTTGTAAAAAGTCTTGTATGATCACAGTGAATTGCTCCGTATTATCTGTGTAAAAGTATTGGTCAAACGTGTAGCAATGTTATCTATCCAGCATTGTTCAATATGCCCGGCTTTGGTCTTTCTTGGAGTAACTTTGTTTGAAATAGATTCATTTTTCTGTTGGTCCTCGTTTATTTTTCTGAACATGCTAGGAAATTCTTATTCCAACTTTGCTTATTTCAGATATTTCATTCAGATTTTTAAACACGAAAGCCGTCCATATAAGTTTGGCCGTCAAATGATCTTCGAGCAGCCGGTGTTCAGATGTGTTTTGATTAAAATGAAATTGACTAACCTTATGTCTAACCTTTTGCATCAGCCTTACATAAGAGAGCCAACATATATCGTGAAATTATAACTATATTTCATTTTGAACCCCCTGTTTTTGCAGACAATGTAATCAAAATTCCAGCATATAATTATTTTTGCAAAGTTACATTAGTCTATTTCAATAACATTGTCCTTTTAAGAGCCAATCATTAATTGAGAGATTCCTGATATACTGATATAATAAACGTTTTACCATTAACTAATTAGTGAACATTGTAAATTGCTAGCAAAACTATGTCAAATGTATTTTTGCATCTGCTTAAGATTGCTACTTAAAATTGGCTTTTAATTTAACAAAATCTATGGCCAATCAGTTTATTGGGGATGATATAACTTGCTACATTTGAATAGATATATTCATACATACATATTCTGGGATACATGACTGCAGTTGTTTGCTAGTTGTGGTAAAAAAATTTAACATGTTTTTAAAAAAAACAACAAAAAAAAACTTTTTTAATCATCAAGAAGTCCCTACTGTAAAATTAGTGATTTTCTACCTCTTTAACGCATTTGGCCATGGAAAATCTAGCATTAGCTAGTGGAGCACCTCATTAGATGTTAAATTAGCTTCCTTAGCTTTAGATGATGAAGGTTTGCAGCTTAACCCCTAGGACCAATTTAGATAAGCTGAAAACTTTTGGATGATGATAAAATGCATTTTTTTTAAATACAGGCAGATATATTTTAGAAATTATGTTTACACTTCGTGTTAATAGTTTAAAAAAACAAAACAATTATGTTCTACTCATGAACTCAGTATGCACCAGTTCACAAGCTTTCTGGCCGAGTCACAGATATTACATATAACATAATCGATAAAGGTCCACTTTATTTTCAATATTACTAAATAATATGTTTTTTTCTTCAGTTGAAGTGTTCTTTGGATGCAGAGTAAATTTCTAATTTAATAAATGGTATTGAGTAACCTAAAAATGAACTTATCTAGCTGCATTGGCCAAATACTAGAGAAACAGAAAGACTATAACTACTGTTACTTTAATACATTATAATTATAACTATTTCATCCTACTTCGATTAATTGTAATAGTACTGGTTATTCTATTTTTATCCTAATTAATTATGATAAAATCATAAGGTATAATAATTTAGTCACAAGTTATTACATTATGTATTTTCAAAGCACAATGCTTAATTAAATTATATATAATCTGTGGCCATCCTAATGAGGCCTAATAATTGGCCAAGTTCCTTATTTTTACAAGGATGTATTTACATTTATTAAATTATATATAATTATTATTAAAGTGGCTATTAAAGTTAATGACACACCACTCAATAAAAAAAAAATTAAACAGCACTTATTTTTTAACTTGAATGGTGGGTCATGAAACTTGAAAAATTTGTAAACGAAAAAAGGCTAAAACCCACTGATCCAATCATATACATTGACCATTAGCAAATGTATTAATTTATTATAAATAGTTAATCAGAGTAGCAAAATCAATTTGATGCTGTGCTTAAAAAACTAAACTTATTTAATATGTGAGATGAAGGGTTTTGATATTTCAGTTATTGAAGAGTTTATAATGAAGAAAGTAACATAAAGTTTCATTTTGTTTATTTCAGAATAGTTTACCCTACAGGTAACCAATTATTTTCAATATTAATAATAATAATAATAATAAAGTTCATTTCAAAAACACGCTTCATCCCCAAAGGCTCGAAGCGCGGTACAAAGTCAAAAAAAAAAAAAAACAAATCTATAGTTTACCAAATTTAAAACAAACACAAAACAACAAAAATAAACAAACGCAACACGACAAAAACTAAGTACAAGCATACAATGGCAAAGTCTTTCTAGCCATTTCAACCATAAGCAACACAGCCATTATGCATTAACTGGAAAATAATGTTGACAATCATCCCAGAAGGATAATATGTTTTTTTTTCTTCAGTTGAAGTGTTCTTTGGATGCAGAGTAAATTTCTAATTTAATAAATGGTATTGAGTAACCTAAAAATGAACTTATCTAGCTTTATCTATGTTGTTAAAATTAATATGACAATAATAAATAATACTTAGTAAATCCACTTTATTATGTCCATTTTAAACTTAACGATTGCCCCAACCACAAGAATGATTTTTTTGTATATTTTGTGAATAATATCAATATTTTCCCTATTTTTGCCCTCTTCCGAACAAGCAATTGAATGCAGCCCTTTTTGTTATTCATTTGGGTCCAGCAAAGATCAGTGACCAGTTATGAACAATGGTTTACTTATTTTCTGTAAAAAATTTAAAAATTTAGTTGATTAAGCGATGATCCTAAGAGACCTGGCTTATTAGTACCCTTTTGATATTGGAATGAAGGAGCAGTTGTTTTAAGCATCTTCACTTCACCCTTTTTTTTTTTTAGTTCAATATTGTTCTTTTTTTCTCTTTCACAAATTTTCAAGCTGCTGTTTTTTCATGCAAAATCCACCAGATGAATGATATAAAATTAATTTACATACTATTCCAATTATTTTAGTTTAAATTGGCACTGCATGTGATAATATTCAGCACTGATTCTAAACTGATACAAGTTAAAATAACTAAAATAAATAATTATTATGCTGAAATTAAACAAAAAACTATATTTGTACATCGGAAATGTTAAATTTGCTATATTCTTTCATGCCACTCAAATTAAGTAAATAAACACAAATAAAAAGTATGAAAAAAAAATAAAGAAAAATCTTTAATTAGAAGAATGTTTGAAAAAAAGATTTAAACATTTTGCAGCATAATTTTTTAATCAACTAGAAATGGAAAAACAAAATGTGTCGAAAAATCTTAAGTAATATTGAGACATTTTAACTCTAGCTGTGCATGCATTTAAAAGTATTACAAATATACTGTGGATAATGTAAAAAAAAAAAAAAGCTAAAGATTTATAGTTAAAAATTAAAATTATTTGCATTTGCATAATGGTTGTGCCAATGGTTTTTCACATTTGTTTTTGTTTTATGAAATTTTAATAATAAATTTACAGACTTATTTCAAATATTGTTTATAAGGGTCCATCCATATATTACATACCCAAGAGAGTCAAATAGTCACACCACCCCACCACCCCAATCTGTTTTGTTTGAGACAAAAATAAGATATTTTACCCCCACCCACCTGTTTCAATTTATTTATAGACAATTATGACATGAATGGCAATTTAACAGTCACAGTGAATAAACCAGGGCTTCTTAACCATCCCTTTGCCAGTCAGATGAAGGTCACGGACCCCTTCTTAGAATAGACTTTTTAATTGCATATAATAAGTGACTTTCAGCTGTATTAGAGATATTTATGAGCTATTTATGGGCTTTCAGATTTATTATCCAGAATGTGTGCATAATCATATGTACACATTCTGCAGAGACACCAAACCCCCCCCCCCCCTTCATATACCAGTATGCCCGCATGTAAAATCTCCCAAGTCATTACTCCCCTCCTCAACAGTGCGTACATAATATATATGGATGGCCCCTAACTAATTTAACGTATTTTCTTTACTAAAATGTTTTTTTAAATTATCATAATTGTAACTGTGTGTGTATGCAACAAAGTGATGTACAAATTAATGTGTGATGTAATCTTTAAATCAAGCCTTTGAAACTCTGTCCCTTGTGTTCCTATGTTTTAATTTTAAATTATCTTTGTACATTGTAAGTAACATTCCCCATCTAGACTTTGCTCAAACATGCACAATGATAAATAAAAATAGCTATTAGGCTAAATGTTTGTGTATACGTTTCACTTATGCTTACAACAATGCTATAAAATGTAAAAAAACTATGGGTTTTTATATTGTTGCAACCAATTTTCTTTTAATGTTATCATTATTGAATAACGAAAAATTCAGTTTATTATGGATTGAAAGAAATACAAATACAGGTACAAAGAATGTTAAAAGCGATAATCCGATTTCTGGTTATCGGTTTCATAAATGTTTGTTGATTTTTACAAAATGATAATTGAATTACTTTTATAACCATTTAAAAATAATTTTAGATTATTAAAAAAAATTCATAGCTTGATAATTTTTTTTATAAAAACCCAAAAATATCAAGAACAGAATTAAGCCTAAAAATTACAGGGAAAAGAGGTTGTTACCGAACTGTGGTACTGGAAACAATATGTGACAGGAAGGGGGTTGACTTCAACAGTTCTTAAAACAATAGATTTCAATTATGGCTACCTACAATAAAATACCAGTATCATATTTCTATCCCGCGACTCAACGGGTTTTCCGCGGCACGCTAGTGTGCCATGAGATGATGCCAGGTGTGATGTGTAAAATGCCTCCAAGATTTGGAAAAACACAAGTGTATGTAGGTACCGGTACGTAAATAAACCGTTTTGCAACAAAGCTAATTTTATTGACAAGCTGACAGAAATGTGTCCAATAATAATACACTTAAATATTATAATTTTCAGCATTACATGTCACAATGAATGTTAGCTACATTATGAAAATTGGTATATTTTTTCATATTTTTACTTGTGTGCCGCAGAATCCTTGCTGTTCACAAAAACCTATAACCGATTTAAAACCAAATGCAGATAGAAAGAAAAAAAAATGTTAATATCTCTTCAAAAAAAATTAAAAGATCAAAAGTCTGTTTTAATCTCTCTTTGTTTGGTACTTAGTACGGTTTTTGGATCAAGAAAGATATTGTGATAGAACTAACACATTTAAGCATTTACAACTCATTGTCAATTATGGTGCAAAATCAATTTGTGCACCTAATCAATTTGCTTTTTTTCTGTAGTTTTGAATATTAATAATATTTATAGAGTTTTTCTTTTTCCATAAGACGCCACCACTTTGTTACATTTGTAAAAAAATCCCTGCTCTCCCAGTTTTGGTTTTCTATATCTGCCACTTTTCACAAAACTACTTAACATTCTCATCTGTATGGTTTCAATATTAAATTTCTTAAAGGTTTTATTAAATATTTCATAATACACCTTGCAAAAATAGATAACATTTTTCACCCATATAATTCCGTATCCGGAAATTTGATCGAAAGAAATTTCGTCGACGGTAAATTGATCGACGGTAATTTGATCGAACGGAAATTTGGTTGAAACCTTTTTTCAGTTTTTACGTTAAAACGTTTGCTAAAATTTCTTTTCGAACGCATAATTTTGTTTAGCAATATAGTGTAGTGCCTTGAAAAAGAAATTCGACGAAAATTTTAACGTCTGAACTGAAAAAAAAGGTTCAACCAAATTTCCGTTCGATCAAATTTCCGTCGATCAATTTACCGTAGACGAAATTTCTTTAGATGAAATTTCCGGTAACCATATAATTCCAGTGAGTTACAAGGAAATACTGAGTCAATTAGTGTTTATTGTTAACATTAATTTCTAATACAGATCAATATTTTCATTATAAGATTATTTCACTAAAACTTTAAAACTGATTTTTTTAAAACTGTTCATTACAAAATTAATTCTTTATTAAAAATAAATTTCAATTTCAAAAAGTTAACAAATATTGGATTGGTTGTAGTTGTACCTTATCTCTTACTGGAGATATTTATTGATTCTTGTTCGGTGATAAAAAATTGTGACTTGTGTTGATTTTACAAAAAAATTTTTAAAGAATGTTAACAGACCTTTGATTTTATTTATAATTTATCTAAAGGTTTGGTGACTTGCTAATGGCTGCATGGGAAGCTTTGTAGAAAGCTATAGAATTTGCCATGTTTGTTAAAAAGTTATTAGCTTTGAGATCACAACAGCTTTTTAAAAAATATAATTGATATGACCACTACCCTTCAGCTGGGTTACATAGCTAAGCTAACAGTGAAAAGGCTAGCACAATTCATTTGAGAATGTGCATTTGAAGATCCTTTAGCTTTTACCCCATGGTAAATCACTGGGTAAATTCTGTAAGTGGGGGTCAATACCATAGGGGCCATCCATACACCAAAGTGCATATGGTACGCTGTGCAAGCTTTGTGAACAACTGGACTCACTAGACAGCTGTGAAAACTATAACACATTTTTTTATTATGGCAAGTCATAAATTGGGGAAGTGGGGTCCAAAAAAAGTACCCAGTGCAATTTTTCTTTGTTTACTACCGGTACATAATGGCTCCATACCGGCTGAAAGGGAAAAATATCTTTGTATCAGTTGCAGAGACTGAACTTTTTAAAAAAGGTGGATTTTGAATTTATTGATATGTTCCAGTATACATATTCATATATTATTCATATGCATTATATTAATAAATTATAAAGGTACTGGTACCAGTTTCCTTTTTTTTTTTTTTATATGCATTCTTCCACCCCTTTTTTTCTAATAGGTATCTTAAAATGTATAACCAGAGTCTCTTTTAGTTCTTGTTATAAAACACACTAAAAGATTTTGGTATGGATATTATTTTTAAAAATTTAGTTTGTATGACTGGCATTTTGGATAGAAAATTTGGAAATATGAGCTATTATGCTAATTTGATACGTATTACCAGTAATTTTCTATTGTTTGACAAATGCCCACTAAATAAATTCCAAAAGTTAAATGAGTGCTTTAACTACAATAAGAGTGCAATTCCGGTTTCATACACTTTACATTTTAATTTTACCAAAAACATTTTTGAAGCCATAATTATTCAGAAATTAGTTTTGGGGTACTGGTAATGCAAATCTTAAGTGGAGTTTAAGGGAAGTCTTTAATTAAAGTAAGTGGTATGAAATCATATCTTAATTAAATTCAAATTTGCAGAAAACATACATTTCCCCTTACCAAAAATATTTTTACAAGCTTTTGACAAATTTCAATTTTAATACCCGTGCTGTGCATTATGTTTTTAAATATGGAAATTAATAAATGCTTTAATATAAATAACTTTATTCATTGGTAGGAGGAGGAAAGTTGTTATTGTTTAGAAAGAGTGGCCATCAATTAAAACATGATGTACGGTAACTCATATTCCATTATGGGTTTCAGTAGCGCACAACTTAACAAAGAACTTGACCAATGTTGTCAGTTTTACATTATCCATCATGGCATAATTTGGGTTTAGTTTTTGATGATATGCTCACCTGATGACCGCATAAGGCTGCTGAATGAGCTTGCTGATTTCACAGCAAGTGCTGTTAGCTAGTGTCAGTGTCAGTTATGGAAAATAATATTAATTCCAGTTCCAGGTACTGAACTAACAAATATAGAAACCGTTTTTTTGTCATCAAAATGTGATGAGCATTGAATCTGATGAATTCTTCTGTATTATTGTAATTTTACAAGGACATATGATATATACATTTATTGGGCTTCCCTTTTGGGTCTTGCTTCCAAAACCAACAATAATAATATGAGGTTTTTTTTTCTTTTAAGTCTTATTACCGATACTGGTACCCTATTCTAACATTGTGTCTCAAGACCAATTGGATACCCTACTCGAAAAAAATTAATTTAAAAAAAAATAAAAAATTATCTGATCACTCATTCACTGTATCTATATTTCTTTGATAATTATGTCTATGTTTTCAGATTAAAATCAAAGCAAAGTCTTTAAATTTAAAAATTGTTCATAGAATTGGGAGTTACAGTCTGTTTCTCATTATTACAGTATAATTAGTATACAAGTAAAACACACATTTAATGCAATTAAATAAGTCTCTTTTTTTTTAATGGTCCCTTAATTTAAATAAAGACAATAAAGACTAAAAATAGCAGTTTTCAATTCTTAAAACATTTAATTTTAGTGCCGGAAAGAAGTATTGTACCATAACTAATTATTTTCCAAAGGAGATTTTTAAAAATCACAATTTTATTGAGCAAGAAATTCTACAAAAATCTCATAAAAGGCAGGAAATTATTTTAGAAAATTTAATTGTCCATTAATTGGTTTTATAAGATTAAAATCACGTCCATCCATTTGGATAATTTAGAACATAATTATTTCTGTTTAGGCATATTTCTAATATTCAGATTTCATTTGAGCATTCCTCAATGGTGGTACACTTTATTTGAATTTAATGTGATATTTTATTGTCTTAATCATTCATATTTGTTTATATTTTTGCTTCCAAAGGTGTGTTGATGATTTATTGTTACTATTATGTGGATTTATCAAAGCAATCAATAGCTCTGTTTCCAGGGTGAATCTGTTGTACATTGGTTTTTATTATTTAATATTTAGCTTTATTGGTGATGAGATCATTGAGGATGTTATTGAACAAATAAAAAGAACTATCTATACTTTTCTTGTCTATTGTTCTTTATATTTTTAAGGCTTGCATTTTTAGGAAATAATAAATTATTCTGCCATATTCAACAGTACACAAATTTTGGGATGTTGGTTAAATAACAAACAAGATTATGGTAAGCTTGCATGAAATATAAAGTTTAATATTTCCTCTTATGTTTTTTACTTTTTTTACTACCATGTTTTTTCTTATGTTTACTCTTTTTATGCTTAGATTTTTTATCATAGTTATCATCACTATCAGAATCTGAACAGCTGGTTTTTAGTAATTGGGTTGATTCATACGATGCATTATCATCTGTGAATTTTTCTGTTTTTATTTCACACAATAGATTTGCATCAGTCCCTGATCTAGATGTATTACAATCTGTACAATCAGTCTGTTTGCCTTCATCAAATTCCATAGTCTGATCAGTTGAACCTTCATCATCTCTGTGAATTCGATTTTTTCCAGGATCTTTGTAAGAATCCTTTTGACCTCTTTTCTTCTCCCTTGACTTGCATGTTTCTCTACTCCTATAATTTGATCTGTCCCTTTCTTTAGATGTCTCTCTTGACCTTTTTCTGTCTCTTGACCTGTCCCTCTTGCTTGATCTGTTCCATTCATAATCTTTAGAATCTTGTCTATATCTACTTCTGTAATCTCGTCGACTGTCTTTATCTCTACTGTCATCCTTCCTACTTTCATGTCTCTTGTCAGGGGTGGGCAACTCTTCTGATTCACCTCCCAGACTTGTCAATTGCCTGCTGCTACTTTCCGGCACTAATATCTCCATTTGGTTTGATATCACCTCTCTTATAATCTTTTCAGAAAAAAATATTGAAAATTTATTCAAAACAATGGAAACAATATTTAAAAATATTAAAAAAATGAATGGATACATTGCCAAAAAGAAATCAATTTATTATCAAGTAAGTAGTGGCCATCGGCATATTACTTAAGTAATGAGGAGGTTGCTGATTTAGGAATTTTTTAAAAAGGGCAGGGTGGGTCTTAGCATAGTGTATACATACATTTATACACACATTCTGCCATATTTATCCTGAAATTCTGACAGCCCTAAACTACCCTATTAATTATATCTCTAAATTACCCCAAATGGGGTAAAAATGGATATTTTGGGGGTAATGAGGGCTCAAAAGACAAAATTATATTTGAAGCATTTTTTTTCTCCCTCGAAATACTGTATCTGGCCTGCGCAATAGCCAAAGGAACCCAATAAATTACTAGTGGCTCAGCAGCTAGCGCTCACCCCTCATCTTGTATGCCTCATTTTTTGCATTGTTGCCTATTTTATCTTATGTTCGGTGGGGTCACTAGAATTCTTTCCACCCATTGCGGTTTTCTCATGTGTCACCCTACCCCGACTTCTCCATGGACCTCCAATTACACGCTGCTCTTGTATTATACTTAGTTTCGGTATAAAACCTACTTAATTTAGCTCTGTCAAATTTACTACATTTCATTTGGTGTCATTCTTCAGAGAGGGAGTCTACCCCGTGCAATGATGTCCCGGGTACAGTCGGAACCCCCACACTCCTAGTGAGAAAAGGACCTTTTGTGTGTGTAGTAATATATGGATGGCCCCTAAAGCCCAATGACTTGTAAAAATTATTTAATTCAAACAAAATAAAAAATAATGATGTCCAACTTAGTGTATCTCCATACATAATTAGCCAAATAAATAAGCATTACCTCTGTATATGATTTCTTGGTAATGTGCACATTTTTCGCTCTATAACTCTGTCGTCTCCTCTTCAAATCTCTCAGGACGGCCAATTGTTCAAGCTTGGAAGAATACTGTTTATTGTTTTGTTCATCCAGCAGACCTACAAATGGTAGTGAGATTCTATATCATTTTATCAATACTTATAATTCTCTTGGGATGAAGGAAAGAAGGTATGGTGTAATTGTAATGTTGAGTTCAATAGAGTTCAAAATAAATTCCTGATAACTGCGCTAAATGATATTCTTAAAAATACAGCAAGTGTGCATATTTTCTTTTGTTTTATGGAAATTGAAATAGTCTCAATTTATGGTCTCATAAATCGACTGTGTAAATGGGGTGGGACATCGGAATATTAATATAGGTCGGGCGTTAAAAAAAAAGTGTGGGGTGGCATAACCTGGGGAGCCGGGGTGTAGCACTAATTTACTAATTGAGATTCTTAAAAAGTGTGTTACTTGTGTGCATGTTTTGTCAAGAAACTTTAGATGGGAAGTTCATGCAGTTCATGCCGCCATTGACTCTAACTAGTCATAATTTAAAGAAATCCAACGTTCTTTAAATAAAAAAAGATTTAGAGGTAAGCAATATTAATTTTCTATTCAATTTATTATGTGAAACAATTTATTAAAATTATTCTAAATATTTAAGTTAAAAATGTGACATTGCTAAAGATATAAAGTGCAATGACTTTAAAATTTATGAGCTATCATAGGTTATTGTTCTGTTTCATAAAATCCCCTTGTCAAGCTCATTTCCCTTATCTTTATATTAAATTTAAATTTATTAGTCTTTTGACAAAGTAAGTAACAGTATATAAAATATAACTAACAATAAATTCATTAAAACATGTTTTAAAAATGTATATCCAAACCACGCTAATAGGCGACTACCGAATTTAACCATCATAGCCACAAGACAGAATAAGATTGCAAAAAAGAAAAATCTCCCCATAACATTCTAACTTGTTTACATTCACATCCAACTCCAATGGGTAAATCATAACTTTTAAAAGGGAAATAGCTTTTTTAAAGTATTATTTTCATTGAATTTCAAGTCTTTTTGACGCTTACACTGACAAATAGTAATTTTCATAAAGTTATTGAGTTTACCGCCTGGTTATTGTGAAAAAACACAAACTACAATGGTACGGCCACATAACAAGGAAACAAGGACTTGCCAAAGAAATATTGCAGGGCACCACAAGAGGAGGGAGAAGAAGAGGAAGACAAAGAAAAAGATGGGAGGATAACATCAAAGAGTGGACAGGACTAACACTGGGCGATGCTGTGCGTAGTGCAGAAGATAGAGACGAATGGAGGAGGATAGTTCACATGTCATCTGTGGCGCCCCAACGGTCCAAGGACTAAGGGACATGATGATGATGAAATTTATTTTTCATTATACCAGGGGAAAAAGTAATATGGATAGATGGTTGTTTTTTTTTACACTATGCGCTATGTGAACATAAAGTGTTAAGAATAGTCAGAGAAATCCTACCTTTTTTAACAAGACTACCCCAATCAGTGGTGAGTAGTTCATCATCTCTGTCCACTGGAATAACTTTGCCAGCCTCATGAGATACTTTGACAACATGTTTATACAAAGCCAATCTGTCTTCCTGAGTGAGGATGATGTTTTCATCAATGTGACTTACTGGCATGCTTCTGTGACCTGTATAAACTATTAATGGAACCTTAATGAACACTGTGTTAAAAGAAATTAGTTAAGTTGCTAGCATTTAGTTACTGGCATTGCCTTTATATTTTAAAAATGGTTGTATATAATATAAGATGTGATGTGTCGTAAAGTAAGTAGCTAAAGTTATCAAACTTGTTACATCAAATATGCACTTCATCAACAATAGTTTTGTGAATAAATAGCAGCAACGCATCACATTCTTGGTGTACAAAACAAATTTCAAATAATTTAAAAAAAATTGGAATCTTAAACTTTCTCTCAACTAACATCATTAAAAATAACTGATAAAAGCAAATGGTCCAGCATTTAAATTACCTTGACCATTTTGGATGCAGTGATCCCATATGACTTTATTTAATACCTTTTCATCTGAAAATTTAATAAAAACATGATAAGATTAATACACATTTTTTTTTTCTTCTCTTAACATTTTAGACATTTGTTATTTTTGAGAATACCTCCTAGTAACCACATGTTTTTTAGTTTAATTTAAACATTTTTTGTTTGTTTTTGTATTCATTATTACTGTTTTTCTTTAACGTTATGCTTTAGGAATAATTTCTAATTAATTCATTTGAAAGTAAATCTAGGAAATGCTTGAATATTTAGATATTGCATCCAATTAAGAGAAATAACAGTGTCAACAATTTCTAATTAGTCAATTTCCAATTGGCCAACAGGTTTTCACTTTAAAAAAAGAGCAAAGGAGGAATTAAACTGGTAGTGTCTGATGTGCTTTTAAGAGATAGGAGTTTGGAAGCAACAATTTGGTATAGTTTTTGTGGACCGGTACATGATATGTCTAGATGAGAACCATTGAAGTAAATAAGAGCCATCCATTTAGCACAACAATGGTAATATATGTTTTAAAATAAACTGATTAATTTAATTTTTTTTAAAAATTACATAAACTCTACTTACATGGTAAATCCTCCTCCCATACAAAGATTATTTGTATCCCTTTAAAACATATTTGAATTATTTACAGACCTGAAGATTATTCTTAAGTGAAAAAGTAAGTTCTCAGAATAAAAACGTGTTCAATGCAACATTATAAATTGCTTGAAATCCAAATGGAATTAAACTGAAAGTTGTCTATGGAAAATGAACATTTACCAATTTCAATTTTTAAAATGGATTCTGCCTTCTCATAAGCAAAGTCTGTTTCTTGAAGAAGAGCTGACTACAGGAATACATTTAGAGCATATTATTATACAAGTTCAACAAATGTGTGTATAATTTAAGTATTGTTACTATGACCGTTATTAGAATATCAGAATATTTGGTTAATCATTTCAGAATATCCGCATACATCAAATAAAAAAACAAATTAGATCCTTTTTTTTACAGGGCACATGCCTTATTAGCCTTTAGATTAAATTAAAATAGATCCAAGAGGTCTACACAATCAAGACTTGGATTTTCTCCATCAGAATATTTGACTCAATTTATGCTATTGGTTTCCTGATGCAGATAACACACTAATTTTATATTTGCCCTTCCTGGTACCAGTAGTATAATATCCAACAGATATAAAGGATTACCACTTACTATGTATTTACTATACAACAGGGGTTGGCGAACGGGGGTGGCTTGGCAATTTGTGTAACCACATGTCTTATCTTATATGCATCATTTTGGTCTAGTTGCCTATTTTATCTTATTCTCTGTGGCCTCACTAGGTTTAGTGTAAGAAAGTGTGGTAAACTCAAGATGTCACCCCCTCCAGACTTCCCTTTTATTTACCAGGTAGTTCAATTATGAAACTGACTTGGTTGAGCGGTCAAATTTGACATTTTCCATTTGGTGTCGCCCCTATGTGAGGGGGGTCACCTGTGCGATCTGCACCCGTCGCACAACCATATTGTTGCCACTCCTTACGCTCCTTAAGCTTTAAAATTGCAAATGAGGAGACGGCTTAAACAAATATATTTTGGGTTAATGGATTAAAAGTTCCCTGACCCTTGCTATTCAAGATAAATTCTAATTATGATATGGACAAAATAAGAGAAAAACATTGTTTTACTAGTTCATCCTTCTGATACCCTGCTTTTAATAGCTTGCATATCTCAGTGTGTTTTTTAAATGACTGTTCTGGTATTATATGATCCTCATTGTATGGGCACATTTGCTTTTTCTCAGACTGAAAATGGAATTTAAAGAATGAAATTAAAAGTATTTAAAATGTTATACATTTCAGCCATTCTACCTAGTAATAAAATATAATTAGACTTTGGACACTTATAGAATGAGACTATCTAAACAATTAAATTACTGTGTGTAAATTACTTTTTAAAAATATAGGTGTCACAATCACAATCTCGATATCAATCATAACAAAGGCGAAGTGGTCAAATAATAGTGACTAATATTTTATTATACACGATCACAACACAAAATAAATCTCATGAAAATCCTAACATACTTGGAACTAATATCATATTAATCTCAATACTTCAATTACTAGCTTCTCTGGATACTCTTCTTCACTTAAACTTCATAATATAACAACACATAACCTGTTCAATATTCTTATATAAACATCATGGATTATTCAAGCATCATTTTGTTTTCACTCCTTACTCTCTTCTTATTGGCTAGTTTTCTTTAAAGTCCCAATACTCTGTATATTACATAAGTAATAACTCCCATATTACTTGTCTCCCATATATTCATATCTGTGACAGACAATAGGTCTTGTATTTTTATGAACTCAATAACAATCACTCAATCACTGACTTATAAATACACACTTTAGTGTTAATATCATTTTTAAAACATAATTATATATAGCGGGTACCTTTAAAAGCTGTTCCATGGTAAACCCTAAGCTTTCCAACATTTTATCCAGCTTATTCCTCTCTGTTTCCAAGAATACTTTGGCAGATTCCACAAATTGCTGCCTCTCAATAAACAGCTCAGGTGAAATAGCCTCTTGAGACATTCTGAAAAATAAAAATTGAATCATCACTATGAACTGGGTTATATATGTATGTATGTATGTATGGCATCTTTCCGTCTGCGGGAGACGATAGATTATCTTTATTGCTTGCAACTCTTGGTGTGGCTGGTGAGACCAATCCTCGAATGGCAGTCTCTGTTACATTTCCCACACACGAATGCGGTGGAGCAGTATTTACCGGCCTTCCTCCTCGCTCTTTTTGCAGCTGTTTCCGCCCTGTTTTGATCCTCGGCATGTAGTGATCCTGCCTTCACGATGCCCCGCCATGAGGATCGATCCTCTGCCAACTCCTCCCAGTTTGAGATGTCGATGTTAGAGGACTTCATGTCTCTTTTGCATATGTCTAAGTATCTCAGACGAGGCCGTCCAACTGACCTTTTCCCTGTCGCCAGCTCGCTGTATAGCACGTCCTTTGGTATGCGACCAGATTGCATTCGCTTGACGTGTCCAAGCCATTGGAGGCGTCTTTGGATTAACATGGCTGGGACGCTACACATGTTTGTTTGGGACAGGACATCCGTGTTGGGGACTTTGTCTTGCCATTTAATGTCAAGGATGTGGCGCAGGCATCTGAGGTGGAAGCCATTGAGCCTTGGTACACCTGCAGCTTAGTTCTTGTTGTTAGTTTGGCGTTTGACCAGACTCTTTTCTTCAGTCTGGCCATAACAGTTGCGGCCTTCCCTATCCTCCCACTTATCTCATCCTCCATTGAGAGGGTGCTCGATATGTTGGATCCCAGATATGTGAAACTGTCAACAGTATCCAAGTCGTAGTCGTCGATGGCGATAGTGGGGAGGGAGTCAGCCCCCTGTGCCATAATGTTAGTTTTCTTTAGGCTAATTGTCAGGCCAAACTCTTTGCAGGCAGCGGATAGGCTGGATACGAGGCTCTGCAGGCCGTAAGCTGTATGAGATACCAAAGTGGCATCGTCTGCAAACAAGAACTCTCGCAGCAAGACCTTTCTTGTTTTAGTCTTAGCTCTAAGGCGGGCAATGTTTAATAATTTGCCGTCATCTCTAGTGTGGATGTATATCCCCTCGCTGTTGTTCTGAAAGGCATACTGGAGTAGGATGGGGAAAAAGATTGCAAATAAAGTAGGAGCCAGCACGCAACCTTGCTTAACTCCACTACTCACTGGAAAAGCTTCTGAGGCAACACCGTTATAGCACACTGTGTCCTGCATGTTTTCGTGGAACTGCTTGATGATGTTAAGCAGTCGCGTAGGGCAGCCTATCTTTTTGAGGATCTGAAACAGGCCGCTTCTGCTGACAAGATCAAAAGCCTTTGTGAGGTCGACAAACGCAATGTATAAAGGCATATGTTGCTCCCTGCACTTCTCCTGCAGCTGGCACAGAGAGAAGATCATGTCTATGGTTGACCTACCGGCGCGAAAACCACATTACGATTCTGGGAGTACACGCGATGCTAGGGTCTGTAGGCGTGTTAATGCAACTGGGGCGAAAGCCTTTCCAACTATGCTGAGGAGGGAGATTCCACGATAGTTGTTGCAGTTACTCTTGTCTCCTTTATTTTTGTACAATGTAACGATGTTTGCATCTTTCAACTCTTGTGGTAGCTGTCCCTGTTCCCAGCACAGAGTAAGGAGATCGTGCAAGGGCCGTAATAGTACTCCTTTTCCACATTTGAGAGCTTCTGGTGGGATACCATCATTGCCCGGGGCTTTCCCACTGGCGAGACAATCGATGGCTCTACGTAGCTCTTCTATTGTGGGTAGGGTATCAAGCTCCTCCATGACCGGCAAGTCTGGGATATCGTCCAGGGCAGTGGTTGAGACTTGGTTTATCATTGCGTATATTTCCAAGTAGTGCTCTATCCACCGCTTAAGTTATATATGTAAGGATATGTAATTACCGTACCGGGTACTGTGAATGTTTGTATTCTAACTTCCATTTATGATTGTATTTGTATAAGCGCTTAAGTTAAAGTAACCAACAATCTGCATCTATTTTAACAAATAGAGAGCTTAGTGGAGGGTTTTCAGCAACAAAATCAAACCACCCTTACTAGAGCATAGTAATTCCATATATTTAGTTAGTGACAACAATCACTTTATGATCAGCACAATAAAATTTGAGCTGCAAGTTTTAGAACCCTTGAGTTCCTGAATGGCCCTATGTGTGGCTAGAAATAGAAACAAAAAGCTATTATTCAAATTGCCTACCATGAGCCCAGTTTATATAGTTTAAAGATTAAGTTTATCATGTGAATAATGCAGATGCTCCTTGAAAAACAGGAAAGTTATTCATATACTTGATATACACATAATCAGGTCCAACTGTTGGTCTGGTCACCTTAGTGAACTAAGTCGATGTTGAATGTTGGGATTCCCCTGACTGACATCACTGCATTTACATTGAGAAAACTCTTGGTAAAACCAATATCGCTAACTAACAGGGATCTTTACCTACTTAGTATTCTACCTAAATACTAACACCATGCCACAGATAAAGAAATCTAAATGGTAAATAGCAGATATTATAGCACATAGGCGATAGGCCTTACGTCAATAATTAACGTACCATATTACTATTACTACAAAACTAGTAACAGTACTAATAAATTATCAAGTTGTTCTTTTTTCTTTACGAAAGCGCCAGCGGAAAGCACACAAGTAGCTTGGAAAGAGGCCACTTTGATAAACATGTGAAATAGTTGAATGTGTTACAGGTCAATGTTGGTAGGAAATCGCAGCGTGGAGAAATGCCTCAATGCTTGAACTGAACGCATTATATTATAATTGATCATGTATTTTCAGGAAATGAATGTCATTAAAATGTTACTGATGCATGGGCTGGCTATGCTATCATCGATCAAATCAATAATGGAGTTTATCAGCATGATTTCATAGTTCATGCTTAAGATTTTGTACATCCCGTTCATCCAGACTATTGAGGGACTTTAGATGCAGGCCAAGCATAAATTGGCCTGTTTCCAATATAATTTTGACTTGTGTGCTTTCCAGTGGCTCTATAGATGCAAAGAACATGTTTTCGGACAGTAATTAAAGTTGCTGAGTGACAATTATCACATCTGACCATGTTCTTAGTAAAACATGACTGAACTGCCAAAGTAACTGTTTATTCAATGCGTTTTACTAGTGTTTAGAATTTGGGACTGGCGTTTGGAGGTTTGCAGATTAGTCTCATTACTCATTGGACTAACAACAACAAAAAAAAGACAAATTAATTAAGCCTAGGCCTAAGTAAGTTTACGAATGCCCAGTAGGCCTACTACTACTATAATAACAATATATTAGAATTAAATTTGGCTAGGCTTATTAACATAGACTCAGACATTATCAGTACTAGCGTTAACACACACTGAGCTCTAAATTTAAACTAACAACTAAAATTAATATGAATGGCTATTTAGCATTTCTATTAAATTTAAGGCCTGCTATTTAGTGTATTTAGTCTTTAGTGGGTTTATTGAGTGGGACTAGTGGGAGTGTAATATTTATTTTTCATAAATTGCTGAAATTTCCTCGGCGGCCTAGCCCTATGCAATGTCTACTTTGAGTATGAGTACTTAGACAGTACTATGCCTATACTATACTATATTAGTATTTACTTTATAGGCCTAGCATTATTTATATATAAAATAAATATGAATAAATAAATTGCGCCTATAGTTAGTAAAGACTAAAGAGTGAGTTCTTTACTAAAGACTAAAGAGTTTCAGTATAATGTATACAATTTAATTATATTTTAATTACATATATAAATCGAAGTGATTATTCACATAGCTGTGCGGATAACGCTAGCCGTTATTCACAAATTTCGGTCTGCCGATAACGCTCGACATTATTCGCAGAATGTGATAAATTAAATTATGAATATAAAATACAAAGTTCGTATGTAAACATCTCATCGGTAGTGTAGTGGTCAGTATCTCCGCCCGTCACCCGGCAGACATAGGTTCGATTCCCCGTCGGGGAAGCCTCATTTTTATAAATAAAATTTTTTTTAAAAAAATTTAATTTTAATTTCGTAGTGTTATATTATAATAATATTCTTCATATGGCTTTCTTATTCTGTTCACATAGTTTTAATATTATTTTCATGTAGTTTTGTTACTTATGTTAAAAGTTTCAATCTATTTTGTTAAAATGTTCATTCAAGTTTCGTCAAAAAACTGTAAACAACATGCCATGTTGAGTGCAACATGTTATTACTTCCATACATGGACATGCAGATGAGCCGCATAAACCATGTTTAAGTCAGATACAGCTGTTCTAACTGTACATTGTGATATCTGCCCTAACAGAGCAGATGTAGGCACAATTAATTATCCTATATCCAATATATAGGCTATAGTTAGGCCTATTAAATTTTTTAAAATTTAACTTGTGCATACCGGTAGCTTCGGTTTTGAGATGTGTTTGTGCCATTCTCATTAACGATCGATCTATCCTACACTACTTAAAACTATACCCCTACCCCGGCTTGGAATGTGATCTTAATTATTTCTAGAAATGAGCGTAATTATGGGAACATTTCTGTCTAACAATAACGCTCTGCATTATTCGCAGATTTTGGCCTGCCGATAACGCTCGGCGTTATTCGCAGATATCGGTCTGCCGATAACGCTCAACGTTATTCACTATTCACAGAGCTGTGTGGATAACGCTTCCCTATATAAATTTAAAAAATGGATGATTAGGAATGGTAAACCTGAATAAAAATTAAATAAATATAATTAAATGAATGGTAACTATTGAACCCCCGTACTTATCAGTTCTTGTGGCGTAATGGGTTTGTTTGTTTTGTTTTTCTGTTACAAAAAAATTAGTAAAAAAATAAACAATCGGAATCTCCACACAAAATAACTTGTCGAAACCCAATATCCGGTTTTAGTTTAGTGAGCAATTAAAAAATATGAATTTTTCTGCGGTTGGTTGTGGTAAACAACTTTTCATATGTAAAAACATTCGTCATTTGACTTCAGAAGGTTAGTCACATACATAATTTATCTGTTAAATAATTCTGAGATGATAGCGGGCCACCTGGAACTAGTGAGATGATTCATGTCATCATAGAATAATGACTAGTTAAGTAAACTACTAAAAAACATTTTTGATTTTGGTAATCGTAATTAAATTAGTTGTTACTTAGTTAGTCTTGTCACTTGTCACTCGTGACTCTTGACACTCTAACTCTAGTCAGTCTTGTTCATTGTTAATGAATTAATTATGACATTATGCCTTCTTAATTTTTATTTTAGCACAATTAATTAACGTTAGTAATGAAAAATGGTAATTATGCTCTAATTTTAGGCTAAAAATGGGATGAACTGATTAGCTGACACCTAAGAAGTTGACTGATTTTGCCTGAGTCTAAAATCATAATAATAATAATATTAATTAGTATTAGATCTAGTAAATAGTAAAAATAAATTCAAAAAGTAAAATGAGAGTCTGTATTAATTTAATAGTCTTATTTTTCTTATTAGTATTAGTCAAGTTAGTCTTGATCAGAATCAGTGTACTACTGTAGTACTCTTTCTGTTAGTTAGGGGGCCCTCCATAAAGTAAGTCACGCTGGGGGGGGGGAGGGGTGGGGGTGGTGTAAGAAAGTGTGACAGTGTTTGGGGGGGGGGGGGGGGGGGTCAGGCCATGTGTGACGTCACACATATTTAAAAAAAAAAAATTATTTCTAATTCATTTTTTTATTTTTTTAGAAGAATTTATTAATATTAGCTTTAAAAATAATTTTCAAAAATTTTGTGAAACATTTGAATTAGTTCTATGTCAAAATAGCATGAAATGCGTATCTCCTGAATGTGTTGTTCACGATTCCTCACGCTTGGAGCGCTAGTAACTATTCTACAATTAAAGTCATTTTAATAATGTGATAGTTCTTTTAAGCGGAAATTTTA